AATTCTGAGAGAGTACGCAGATCCGGTGTTGATGGATCGAATGCTGGTGCATCTGGATTGAATTGAAAACCTGGGCAATGATGTCCGGTTACAGCTTGTGAAGCTCCGGTCGAAGCTGGTGAAATGGAGGGGCCAGGAGGACCTGATGATTGCATCAATGATGTGACATCACTGCTTTGGCCAATGGTTGGGCTGCCAATGCTCGTGACCACACTGTCGCCATCTTGCAACCTGGCCAATTCTTCACCTGCAAGCATCACTCCTCCATAAGTGCAGGTGCATTCTCTCCTATCACACCATCGCTGAATGCCCAGTATGTCCAGAATTTCCTGCTTCGTCGCGAACTCCTCAGCGAGAGCTGCAAAGTGCCATACACGACGATGGATAGGATGTTCAAATAGTCCAGAAACCAGAACCGGTACACCGGGTCCTTGACCTTGAACCAGAATCAAGTGCCCAATGTGTTGTGGATTGTCCGTCTCTGGAGGGTTCGGATGCACAAAGATGACCCTGGCCGGGGCAAATGGGTCCATTGCATCACGCCAGAGATCACAGAGTTCTGGGAACCAAAATTGTCGTGCCTCATCCAAGCGAAGAGTGCGCGACTCTGAGTTCCTTGTGTATCTTTGATAATGGAGATACCAGGTTTTCCAGTAAATGACTGGACCTTCATCTTCATGTTCCACTTCCGCACATTGACGAAATGCTGCTCTTGCAGGCACCATCCATGCTCTGGCATCCATTTGTGGGATGTGTGCAGGCCTAGTCACACCTGTGCCTGAGTCAGTTCTCGTACTGGCCAAACTTGGAAAAGCGGAACTGTGTTGGACAATATGCCCAGTACCGGTCTGGAAAAATGACGCTCCGTCTCCAGAATCAATAGTATCTCCATGCTTCGACTTCTTCAATGGTCTACTGCACTGTGTAGCAGATTGTACCTTGACCTCTTGCTCGTCATTGCGCAGCCTTACCTCAAGTCTCAAATATGCACCATGAGCAAGTTCACGCGGAGCTGCATCCTCTTTTGCCCACAGTGCATTGTTGAGATGTAGTGTGCACCGATCTGCCTCAATGACGCAAGGGTCTGCCAAGTTCAGTTCCTGAAGGACTCCAGTTCTACTGAGATGCCTCGGGAAAACTTGAACTCGTCTATGATATGTGGGAGATCCTTGAAGTTGACCAGCAAAAGTGAGATCTACAATGACCAGCTTTGCCGGCGATCCACCTTCAATGTCTCCAACCCGTTGAATGATGATGGATTCTTCTGCTTCATGTTGATCGACTAGCGGCGCCTGAACATAATGAAAACCAACAGCAAGATCACGATGGAGTCCAACCGACTGTAACGCGTCAAAGAGGATGACATTGTAGGTTGTCCATCTCACAAAACAGTGATGAGCAGGCTGATGAAGTTGGTGGATCCAAAGTCCTTGTAAAGCTTCCTCATCAAAACTGCTGGAAGATTCTTGATGTGGTTCAGATTCTCCTCCTTCTTGCTCATTCTCATTCTCAATTGGTTCTTCATCAAGAGTTTCAGCCTGGTCAATAGTTTCAGAACTCAAGGCTGGCAAGGCGCTCTCAATCTCGTTGTTCGTTTCCGTCTGCATATCCTGAAAAATAACCACAAATGTGTGTCCATTTGCCATCCAATGAGTTGGAACTGTCCCAATCGGCAGTTGAAATCCGGCATGAAAGACATCACAGGCATGCGAAAGTAGAAGATCTTGTGCCTCCGCTCCAGTAATGACGTCCATTCCACTGACATGCTCAGGCAAGGAAACTGCCAGAGTGGTGCTCAGATGTTCTTCAACTCCTGGAGGATAGACAGTGATGATAGCCCCTTTACGTTCAGGATCACCTTGAATCAGGACGAGATCGGCATGATGTTGTTTGTGCGTCGTTTGGACGCGAACTTCTGGGGTCGCAATGGCAATGTTGAGCAACTCATCATTATGGATGTGGTCTGACCAGGAAGAAAGCACCTTACGATGCCATGTCAAGACATCCTCTGTCAAGTCAATGAATCGTGGTACTCGCCAGACTGGATGATGAGTATGATGAATGTACCATGTGCGCACACAATAATGTTCTCCCTCAGCAATCCTCAGGTGATTGTCACGCCAAAGATGCTGTAGATGATTCACATAGTTTGGTAGTTCTTGTGGCAATCTTCTGTCCAGAAAATGTCGATTCGATGATGATGTTGCATCCCGGGAACTAGATGCTTGAGACTTGCTGCCGCCGGTTGGGTCAATGGGGCAACTGCGTGGTGAATGCCAAAATTGTGATATTGGTTGTCCATCGTAATGCCGTACACTCTCCTGCGGGAACTGTTCAGGAGCGCCTTTCCCCTGAAAGGCCTGGGGCGATTCGGCAAAACGAACAACTTTGCAAGGCTGTTTCTCACGAACTTCAACATCAACGTCGCCACGTGTTGGTAGAACAAATTGGTCAATACGAAGCTTGGAGTCATAACCCATCTCACATGCTAAGTCTGACGCTGTTTCAATTGCACTCCACGGGGACATAAACGTTGGTTCACTGAGAATTGAATGGCTCCAGTGTAAAACCACTGCAAAAGGGCAGTGTACTGGCTCCGGCCATAGACGGTCGTACATACAAGTCACGCTCCGTCGGCCTTGCGAAAAGGCTGCAAAGAGGGCTGTCGCCCACCAGCCTTTGAGTCTCCTGGGTTCTCGTCGTCCCTTGTACGAGGTCTTTTGGGCTTCGGCTCCAGTTTGTCTGCTGAGTCCGAGAGCTCCGTGAGGCTGGAGACTACATTGTTCAATCCTTCCTGGATTTTCTGTGCGTTTTCGTCTCTTGGAATCTCTTCTTCTTCTCTGGCTTCTGAGTCTTCCATCTCGTCTTCCGTGATGAGGCTGATGTCCTCGTCCTTGTTCATAGCATCTGCTCGCTTCTTGGCAATGTCCACTCTCCTCTGCGTACGTCGCAGGTGCAGGGTGGCTTCTTGCATCTTGGACTGGAAAGCAGCTTCCGATGCTTGAAATTGAGACGTGTATTCTTTCCACTTGACCACGGATTGTTGCAAGAAAACTTTCCACTGAGACCAGAGTTGCATTCTTGATGATTCCACTTCCAAGAGGGCTTCTTTCGCCTTCCCATTTGCTCTGACCGCTGCCAACAAATTGTTGGTGCTCTCCTTGTCGTCTTTCTTCATCTCTGCGTGCACAAGAGACTGGAATTCCGAAGACAGATTGTCTTCTTTCTTGGCCGCCTTGACGATCTTGTTGAGCTTTTGTTGTGCACTGAGTGCCGCTTTCCGCTCTTCCGCTTCCTCCATTGCATCTGCTTCTGACTGTTGTGGCAGGAAATGCATGGACGGCATAGCAGGCATGTGTTGATGAAGCCATGGAACGCCTTGCGGTGACGGATAACCACTCATCATAGGCGGTGGCGGCGGCAATGGTGCTGGTGCAGGCATTGGAAGCTGCTGAAAGCTCTGTGGAGTTCCTTTTCCAAGCCCTTTGAGATCCCATCCAGGAGGCATTGGAGAGGACGTCTGCTGCATCTGAGGCCATTGAGTTGCACTTCCAGGCCAATATTGCCCTGCAGGCGAATTTGATGGCTGTGCCGAATCTTTCCATTTGTTTTTCCTCCTTGACGACTGTCTCCGCTGCCTTGGGCTCTTCGTCCTCGAAGCAGTGTTCGCAGTCTGCCAAGAATTCCACTGGTCTGCTTTCTGTCCACCCTGCTTGGCCGTAGGGACTGCACAGCTCTCCCAACTCTGACCACACAGGTCGCAGTACCAGGCGCTCGGCGAGCGCATTTTCTTGCAAAAGCCACAAAGCCACCCAGATGCCTGTGAGCTCGTCATCTCTCGATGGATCTTGCAAAGGAAGCCAAAGTCCTTGGAGTGATGGGACAGCAGTGTTCCAAGAACTTTCCTGAGTCTTGCAGAACTCAGCGGAGTCAGGCCTTTGCGATGGTCGTGCCAGGCACGACGTGCCTTGGCTCGGGACCTCCGCAGTGCTCGACGCTGAGTTGCTGTTGCCGTCGCCCTCGACAGAGAAGATCACAAAGGAGTAGACAAGGAAGAAGAGCCACCAGGCAGACATACACAACAGCCAGGAAAAAGACCGTGAAAAAGGTGCCAGCCCGATCACGATGCCAAAGTCCAGGTTGAAGGTGCAACAAAGGTGTTGCGGTCCAGCCCTGTGACCGCAGAGCACAAGAATGCAAAGGCCGCCAGCCGCAAAGGGAGCACGCGGATGGCAGCCCGCGGGTAGTGGTGGCGAAAACCCGCTTGAGCCAAAATGGCTTGAGCATTCTAATATATATATATAATATAGATATTATATATATAATATACTATCTATCTATATATATATATCAATTATATATATATATATAATATGTATATCCATCATTTCCCAAGATACCCGGTACTACCGGCGGTTTTTCTCGCATCCGAGCGCTGCAAAATCTCACTGGGATTCCCGGGTCATCCCATCACATCCAGCCATTGAAATTTCCAGTATCTTCCCATATCGATATCGGGTTGAGTCCCCATAATATGATCTAATTTTTTATATGTTAAGTAACTTTTAAGTAAATAATATTAATGATAATGATCTGATGGTACTTTAAGTAGATTTAATGGAGAATGAATGGATAATGATCTGCTTGGTGGTTAAAACCTACCCCTCTGAAAAATGATGGAGTGAGTGAAAGTCAGTTGGGATGATGGATTATTCATGAATATTCATGATTATTCCCAATTAATTATGGAAAGTCATAATCCATTCCATGGTTCCATTATTGATTATTATATCCCATTATATCCCATTAAAAACACCATGATATCCCAATTAATTATGGGAAAGTCATAAAAGTCCATGGTTCCAGTCACCAGCAATGAGTCATATGCATCTCTACAATAGAAACACTCGATACACATCTGTCTATATCACATCCTACCATTGATTCCATTGATCCTACGTTAGCTCCACAGCAAGCAGCAGCGCAATATGCCGAGAAGCCCCTTCTCGCTAATGGCCTTAGATCTCCAGGCGAAGTGTGACAAAAAGTCTGTTGGAAAAGTTTTTTTGAAAAGTATCTAGTAATAGAAACAGTATCTATTAGATAGATCAAAGTTGAACATACTATAATGATCTAATGATCTTGAATTAGAAAAGTAAAATACAATTATAAAAGTTCGATTTTTTAAGATTCAAATATAAAATACTGTATAGAAACAGTTTTCTAGCCATCCCCAAAAAAGTTAGAATAGATACTAAATACATATTTCATCATATTTCAAGGTTTCATCCTGTTCTACCTGTGACCTGGGGTTACACATAAATGGCCACCAAAAAATGGGTTGATAAATGGTTTGTCCATCTATGGGGATCAACACAACAACATCTTTGGTGCCTCTGGGAGACCCTCACATTCTCAAGATATTGATGTATTGACCACATGATTTCAGGATTTAAAGAGATTTTTTTAGAGGAAGAACGAAGTCCATTAATATGTCAACATGTGTTAACCATCAACAATAAGAACTAGCTTAGAATCTACATGATCTACATGGGAACACGCTTGGATCATGAACCACGACCTGGCAGCTTCGCATGTTCCAAGGGAGCCAGATCCTGACCTTTTCAGAATTGCAAAAACCGAAATACCCGGCCTGGTAAACGTTAACATATATAGCCTATATAGCTATTGAAAATGGCCCAGTCGAAATAGTGAGTTTTCCCATTAAAAAATGTGATTTTCCATAGTTATGTTAGTTTACCAGAGGGTAGATTCTATAGATTCTCTAAAAACAGCTGAAACGAAATGACTTACCATTGGCCCCTGATCTTCAACTACAGTAACTGTAGGTGTGATACCCTTCAACACAAGCAAAGCTAGTGGCGTTTTTTGGGTATCTTGTTCGATTCTATTCGTTTCTGGATCGTTGAAAAGGCAAAGAGATGAACCAGCTGTGTATGTCATCATATGGGGGGTTCCACAAATGGTGGTACCCCCATAGCTGGATGGTTTATAATGGAAAATACCATCAACATGGATGATTTGGGGGTACCCCTATTTCAGGAAACCCCCATATACATATATATATATAATGTATGATTATTATTATATGGATATGGAATTGCATGGAATTGCTATGGATCAATACCTACAAATACAAAAAAATCAGGGGATGAACATCCAGCGAAATACCAGCTATACTGGGGTTCACCAAAGGTACACGGTTTTTACCCATCCCCATATATGAATATCTGCTTGGTGGTTGACCTACCCCTCTGAAAAATATGAGTTCGTCAGTTGGGGTTATTATTCCCAATATATGGAAACATAAAATTCATGTTCCAAACCACCAACCAGATATGCATCTGTAAAATATACACTAGATACACTAGTTGTAGCTAGTGATTTAGTCCACTTGTCATGGTTTATAGCACACGAAGTTTATCAACACATATCAACACCCCTTGAACTGAAGTTTGATCCAGTTAAATGATTGTTAACTAACCGTAACTAACCAGGAGCGCAACCAGACACTGAGATAGCGACCAGCGCAGCCACTGCTTGGAACTTGCTCCATGTAAGCTGACCGCTACCTCAGAAAAAAACTGGGCTCATCTAGGCTCTTTCCCCCTGTGAAACTGCCATTGAACAGTCATCAATTGCCGCTTTTTAGCCGGGATAAACTTCAAAAAGGACACATGCTGCTGTGTAGCTTGCCCGGCATTTTGTATATTTACGCTTTCAAAAGTGAACCCCAACTAAGGATAGAAACATGTTGACATTACAGTATGTAGTTGCAGAACTTTTTCCGCATTCTTTTTACGCATTTGGGCCATATCAGGTATCCAAACATTGATGAAAACACAGGAGAGATTTGGAGAGTTCAGCTGGCGAGCTCGTTGGTGGATTCTGGATCAATAAACCCAGGTTGGTGGATCTTTGTTGCTACCGGGCTACCCCCCAGAAATAGTGAGAAAAGTGATTTTCTGGGGTGTTTCACCATCCTGAATTGAATAAGGCTTCCTGGAAAGTCTCTCTGGAAAGTTTCATTTGGACATTCGTCAAGATGATCTGGGACTGTTTTACGAGGAGGAACTGGTTTGTTAGACTTTGTTCACCCTCAACCATAACAGTTCCTTCGATTTGTCCAGTGAACTTTTTGGGGACCGCGCAAATGGGAAACCACTTGGAGACGGGGCCCCAAGAATCCAATATCTGCGACCATTACTCACCTGAAACATAGAGGTAGATCACAAATGATCATAGTATATTATAGTACGAGTATCATAGCCATAGGATCCATGTATACTATATATGGTCCCGTCCTCCGTCTCTCCACCCCCCCCCTCCCCCCCCCATGGGTTGGGTCCCCAGGTAGCAGCCCCAATTCCTTCTATTTGCAAGCTACTGGCAGCATTTCTGAGGTCCAGCTTCGTATTTGCTAGGTCTTTGCAGCATTTCTGACTACCAGCCTCGCATTTACTAGGTACATGCTACCTTTTAGGTGACCTACGTAGCACATATACTCCCTCAAAGTACCTACGTGACACCTACGTACTACCTATAGTGATATATATATATATACATGTGCTATGTATCTACTTCCTATTTACTACCTCTGTACTCTGACAACATTACATGTGTTTAACATATACCGTACCTACCATACATTCCAATGATGCCATGCATACCATACCTATCATACCTATCATACATACCACATATACCATACATATGCAACATAATTGCCACACCTACCATACATACAATAGCAAACATACATGCCATACATACCATACCTACCATACATCCATACTTTCCAAACATGCCATACCAGACCCACCATACACACCATACATACCCAACATACCATACCACACCCCCACCACACCACAAGGGGGGGAGGGGGACAGTACCACACCCCCACCACACCACAGGGGGGGAGGGGGAAGATCTCAATATGGGACCCATCCCATGCGGGGGGGGGGAGGGGGGGGGGGGCAGGGCCTGGTGCATATATGGTATAGCATTTAACATATTTTACCATCAATATACCCCCAATGTTAGCATATATACCAGCACCATGGATCCGTCATGGGATAGTTTCTAGATGTTTTTTACCGAGATTTTCATGATTTTCCCGAAAATCATCCAGCACCAGCCTTCACATCCTTCGGCCGTAGGCAGCCCGGCCATCATAATCGATGCTGGCCAGCAACTTCTCCGCTGATTCTATGGCATGAAGAAAACCCATGGCCTGCGCTCGAATGTTTCGGGTTTACCATGGGTTACCCAACCTGGTTATGACTAACTGGTATACTGTAGATGGCCCATAGATCGAAATAGATGGTTTACCGTTCTTAAACATGGTGGATCTTTCCATGGCGAACTGTTAAATAACCAAATGGTATGTGCTTTGGATGAATGGGTCAACATTGAAGACCGCACCAGAGATTTAAGTCTATTAACATGTAATTATTAACCAATCAACAAAAAGGGTTCAATTTGGATCCATATCTCATCATATCTCCCATATCCACATTTTAGAACGAACGTGTCTGAGACTTTATTTCGAAGCAAAAAAAGCAATAAAAAACATCATTCAAACCTTCAGGCCGATCATCCGATGTGTCCTGGATTGTCCTGGTGGGGTGGGATGGTGGTTATCCTTGAAACGTGGTCGATGATCTCACACACACATTCGACGTAAGATTCCAACGAGTGACCCCCCATCGAAGGTCATGCGCAAAGAAACCATAGGAGACCCATCCAACTTGGAGATGTCTTAAAGATACCATAGGACTATCAATAGGATTATGGATCATTACATATCATGACTCCCAACAATTTTATCCGAACTATCACCAACTCGGTTTTTTTTCTACCAGAAAAACATGCGAGTTCTGCAGATCACCTTCCAATGAGCTGCCAGGTCCTGTAGCATCACCTGGCGAATTCTGCAGCTGGAAGAACCATCCGAAGTATCCCGAGATGCTCCATGTGTAGTATATTTACCTATATATATATACATATTTACCTATAATATATTATAATATATGGTACTTTAAGTAGATTTAACGGATAATTAGTTAATTGATGTTAATTGATAACGATTATCTGGTTGGTGGTTGAAACCTACCCCTCTGAAAAATGATGGACTTCGTCAGTTGGGATGATGACATTCCCATACATTCCCAATATATGGAAAAATAAAATTCATGTTCCAAACCACCAACCAGATATTTACCTACATTTAGGCCATTCATGGGCTAAATGTTGGCAAATATTCCAGCACCATGGAGCATATGGGTATCGTTTTAGTCAGTTGATGTCATTTTAGTCTTCAAGGCCAAGCATTTTCCCCTCACTTGGATGTGCATCACAGTGATTGTAAGATGTATTTTCATGTATTTTCCAGGGTTTACGACCCATATAACCGCATTTCACTGAGGATATTCCATCAACTCGGGCATACGCAACAACACATTCACCGTACAGCGCCAAACAGTGGAGCCAGCTCCAAAAAGCTTTGCGAACTGGAATCCAGCACCTTTCTTTATAGGTAAATCATCATGTTTAGATCAATGGGTCATTTTCGTTCAGAGGCTAAGCGATTAGATGTGTTTTTTTTTGAACAATCCCACTTCTTGGGGACGGACATGTCTAAGTCAACTGGTATCAAATGATCGGAATCCCCCGACACATATTGGTCATTGTGGATCATCATCAAATCAATATATACTATATAATAATATATATATACATATTCTATTATATATATCATATATATATATATATATTGTATTATATATATACACATAAATATGACATTATATATAAGGACATATAATAAACACATAGAAACACTATTTTGAAACCACCAGCCAAACAAAGACCCTGCTAGTCTGTTCGAATCACAGTGGCAATGCTGATCGGCGTCTCCTTTTTTCGGGCCGTGATGTTTGGGTGAAACTGTGAGCAACAGGGGTCGCCAAAGAATTGTTCAGGCAAAATTGGTTGGACTTTTACATTTCATCACATTTTAAGTTTTTTTTCTATCTGGACATGCTGGGGCGAAAAATTGACACTCACACAATGGTCACTAAACGGTCTTCAAACTCGTCTCTGCTCTGGAGTAGAGGATGTTGAACTTCCGGCACCTGTGACCTCATGCACACGTAAAACGGCTTGACCATGAGCAAAGCTCCCAAAGCCACCAGCCCCGCCACCAGCCCAGCAATCAGCAGGGAAGGCATCTGGGGCAAGGAGGACACATCAATGAGCCGATTCCAGGGTCCAGCCGGCGCATCCGCCGCATCCGTCTCCCTCCGGCAGAGTTGCGGTTCAGCAGGTCCGGTCATGACATACTCGATGCAAAAATAGATGGCTTTCAAACACACTGGAGCTCGATGGTTCTGGAAACAGTTTTGAGACCCAGAGCTGAAGCAAAAGGATGGGCCACAGCTGCCGCTTCGCCCGCTTCGCTCTGTCTGGTTCCTCACCATCTCCAGCCAAGCTGGGTTCGCTTTTGGAGCATTCAAATCTGTCTCAAAGGGAACCTGACTGTTGGCCACCAGTCCCAGCACCACGAGCGCAAAGGCCATGATGCCAAACCACCTTGCACATCTTGCCATGCTCCAAGTGGCCGGGCCATGCCACTGGAGCTGAGCCATTGCCTTTTATATTGAAATAGATCACCTTCTTAGCCATTCAAGCCCTGAGCCAAAAAGATTGGGGCACAGCGGACCATAGCATATCGAAACGATATCGAAGTGATATCGGATATCGAAACGCATGTTCCATGAGCATCCAATAACTCCAGTTTTCTATTCCAGCACTAGAGGATGTGCTTTAGAAAAACTCGAAGTAACCCTAGTTGCGGAGCAGGATCATGCAGGATCCGCTAGATTGATTTGCTGCATCCCAAACTTGGCAACAAAAAACGTGTGCCCAGACAAGTTGTGTCATATGCGGGACGCTGATTACGTTTTTTCTTAAAGCCTTGGCGCATACCCAGGTTGGCTACACGTTACACCCATGATTGATACAGAAGTTGTGAATCTGAAAAAACATCAGAGTTTCACCATAGTTTTCAGTTTTCACCAAAGTTTCAATCCATTTCACCCATCTGATGCAGAACCTGGCCCAAAAAAAATCTAAGTCAGAATCACCCCATTTCTATTAACATCCTCATAGCCATAACTGGTATTTCCGGTTCACTGTGCCCAACCTCTTCGTTGTTGTTGATGTCCAGGCTGTTGAAAATCTGCTCAATCTCATGCTGCTCACCTCAGGCAACGCGGTCAAAGTTCCGGTTTTCCCCGAACAAATCACGGTCATCATTGTGATAATGGCAAATATATACAGTATAAAGTATGTGTGTATATATATAATATATATAATATATATATATTAATTATACGGCATTATATATATAATATACATATGAATACACACACACACACGTAAATACATAGATGCATATATATATATATATACATACATAATACATATATATATATATGCATATATATAATATAATTATATAACTATATTATATATCATTATATATCTATATTTATCTTATCGTTTATGTTTTTCACCAGTCTAGCGTTCAATGACTCCAGACCTGAATCACAAGAGGCAACAAGTCTATCACATGTTCCCATCATCCCTCATGAGCATAGTGACAACATCATTAACATCCTTGACTACCATGTCACCATCATCCTTTATGAACATGCTAAATATAAACGCACTAGAACCATACTGCTTTGGGGATCGGGGACCAGCAATCACGATTTGGACACTTTGATTCTCATCCCATTTGAGTCATTCAATCCTGCACCTTATCATGCTCAACATCATCATCCTCAACATCATCGTCCGCAACATTATCCTCCTCCTCCTCATCATCATCATTGTCGTCATCATCATCATCATCGTCAACATCAACATCAACATTATCAACATCAACATTATCATACATTATCCACACACACACACGCACACACTGTTTGGGGTCTCTTGCCGGTATTTTTTTTGGTAACTCCTTGGGTTTTTGATTTCTACTGTGTGGGGTGGGGGGGGAACAGGTTGGGGGTTGGCAAAAATGCAAACAAACAAGTTAAACACTGTAAAAGCAACAACTGGACTAAGCATAACTAAGCCATCTTGACACTAACATTGAGCATTATTGAGCACAGGCATTGGGCACCCCACGTCCATCATTTCCAGGCCTGGTTTTGCCAGGGTGCCATAGGGCAAAGCCCGAAAGAGCCGCAAGCCATGTTGCCAGGTACGTTGCGCTTTGACCGAGGCCGAACTCTGCCTGTTTGGGAAAACATCGGAAATCTGGAGAAGATGGTTTTTTTTCATCCCAAAGTTGTTTGGATTGGTTGGAAACTGATATGAAGCCAACATGTGTACATGTTTGAGGGAGTTGTTGGGGCTCCTACCCTGCAAACCATGCTTCAAACAGGCTTCCTTCCTTCACTCTCTCCCTCCTTGTTTGACGCAACAATTAACAGCACCTCTTTTCAGCCTCCCGACACAGACCAGCTTCGCAAACACTGCTTCACTCGCAGTACTTCGTTTGATGCCCTCCCCTATTCTTGTCGGCTAAATTTCTTTCATTTGTTGGTGGGCTCAATCCCATCTGCTTGGTCAATCTAAGCCCCAAAAAAAATCCAAGTCATGGTTTCAATGCTTTCAAACCCCATGAGATCTGGATACGACTTGGGGATGCTTCTCCACATCAAAAAAACATTCTTCAAGTGACGTCGGAGTGAGGTCGTTAAATTAATCCTCGAGGTTGTTATACAATTCAATCATATTCAATCCCTATAATACCACCAAAGTCAATGTTTGATCGTTAAAACACCATTTGCATTATGTTCACCAGACCATTGCCTATTCAAAGAAATCAACAAACTTGAAAAAAACAAACGAGCAAAAAAATGGGAAAAAAAAGCAAATCAGCACAATCCAAAAAACACAAAAGCAAAATAAAAGGGTAAGCAAAGGGAAAAAAAGGAAAGACACAAAGAAAAAAGGGGGAAACAAATGGACTTGTGCATTTGCAATTGTTTTTGCATTTATTTTATTTGTTCCAATTGTTTTTTTTTGCATTTATTTTGTTTGCTTTTTGCTTTTTGCCCGAACAAAAAAAATACAAACTAAAAGCAAACAAAAAGCAAATCGAGAAAGCAACATAAATGCAAAAAAAAAGCAAATGGACACGTCAATTTTTCCCCAACGTTTTTCACCTTTTTGACTTTACTTTTTTTCCACCATTTATGTTGCTTCCTGTTTTTTTTCGGTTTTTAATTGTTGCTTTTTGATTTTCCATTTGTTTTCCATTATTTGCATTTTTTTTCAAGTTTGCATTTTTTTCAAGTTTAAAAATCATTAGAATAAGCAATTGAGAACGTAACACCAACATTTGCATTGGTCAAATCATAAATTTGATGCAGTTACAATTTCTGGTCAAGTCCCTATTTTTCTTCAAGTCCTAGTTGGATGGTGGAGTGCCCATTTTTGCTGAAACCTTCGCCACAGGGCCACAATGGGCCACAGGTGCCTGAAATGCCTCACTGCACGTGCTGCCGCCCGCACTGGCGACTTCAGAGTCCGTGCCACCGGTCCTTCCTGCGGAAAGAAATCGTGGTAAGTCATGGCAAATATCCGAAATATATCGAAATATCCCAAAATGGATGGTTTATCATTGAAAATCATTGAACATCCACCCCGAAAATGATGATTTCATATGATTTCGGGGTACCATGATGTTCCCGGAATCCAAAAACGTTCCCGCAATCCTCCAAAAGATGGTGCGACAAAACCAGAAACCACCTATGGTACACTCTACCCTTTTTGGTAAACGTTTGAGCAATGATATTGAAGCTTGATTTACCAGTCGAAATAGTTGATTTACCCAACTATAACATGCTGGATCTTTCCAGTTCGCTACGTAACAGTTTACCAGAGGGTAATCATACCATTAAATGGCCATTAAATTTCCCATGAAAAGTGGTGATTTTCCATGGTTATGTCATAGTTTGCCAGAGAGTATTGACCCGGTTTCTCACAGAAACCATCACAGAAAGCCAGGGTCAACCCTGGCCTGGTCGCTGTACGACCCGAAGAGTCACCGCAATTGGAAGGCCTTACATATTTGATCTATGTATGATAGGTGCTTTTGTGGTATATGATCTACAATATGTAATGAATTATATATATATAATATGTGTATATATATATATATTCTGTACATGTGTGTGTACTTATATATATATATATAATCATGTGTATATATATAATTATGCATACACATAAATATATATATATTATTCATATACATATCATTGTATATTCATGTATATTCCAAATCTAGTTCCGTTTAAATCATTATTGCAAGCACGCACTATCACAACAATGGACACATCTCACTAGAACCGGCACATCCACGGGCACGATCTCATCACGTTGGCAAATCACTGTGGCGGAGTTGATATACCCAACCTGGTTATGACTAACAGGGCTAGCCATGGTTTTTTGATGGCCCTAATCGAAATAGATGGTTTACTTGGGTTTATGGCCCATAGAAATAGATGGTGAACAACTGGGTTTACCTATGAATAGCATGGTGATTTTCCATGGCGAACTGTTAGTCATAACCAGATGGTAATTCTGAACATGAAAATGAATACTTCAACTGGATTTAAATATTCATGTCCATACCACCGCAGAAAGGTGTTCTACATGTTTCAGCTTCACGGTCAGCTTTGTTGTCAAAATCAGTGTGCCATGCAGTCTTAGCTGCCCATCTTGAAGATCAATGTTCACCCATAGCTTCTAAATATTGCTTTGTGGAGGCTTCCGCACATGGCACACCTGTTTCGCGACGAGATCTTTGCATCACGATGAGTAAACCCAAGTACCCAGTACTGTATATCTTAAAATATGACACATTAAACGTGTTGTTATAATGTGGAATATATTATACACATATAATAGAATATCAACTATAATTGATAAACTATGAATAAACACGAAAGATTACAACATTGCATGTCTAATAAGTATGCAGATGTAAGTTTATCTATATTTATCTCTATACTGCAATACTCATCAATCATATACCAAGATATGTCTCCTGCCTCCGGCACTTGAAGATGGGATTCCTCCTGCCTGAGAGAAAACTGTGTCCGAGGAAACTAGAGAGCATCAACAAACGATACAAAGATCACCATCTATCGAATGATGAATAAAACACATTAAAACAATATCTTGAATACATGTTTTGATCACTGGAAAGATTATAATACATATGCATGAATCGATGCATCATCTATCTGTGGTTTTCATCATGTTTTGGAATTTTGCAAATTATGAAATTGCAACTCGCACTTTTCTATTACGAGTCAGGAGCCTCGTTTGTCGGTGCTTTGCTTCTCGGTCTTGACGTTCCTCATAGCCCTTCAACTGCGCCAAGCGAACATGATACCTGGCTGAAAAGGAGCAAAGATATGAACTTGGAAAACAGTCAAGAATACCAATGTTTTCCACAGTTGTGCTTTTGGGTATGAACATCCATTTACAGTACCTCCTTTTTTTTTGCGGATCCACATCCATTTACGTGCTGTTCTGGATGGTTATTAGGGTAACTGGGTACAGTATGGGCTAAAACCCTGCTTTCCAAAATAGCTGGGAGAAAATTTGATGTTCGCACCTCATAATTATGGTAACATAGGTTTTGATCCATCTCAACTGTTGGGATGAAATTTTTGTGCACTTGAGGTGATGAAGAAACCAACCAATTTCTTGTGATGGAAGAAATCATCTTGGGACATTCGGTTCAGACTGGTACTATCCACCAAATGATCCAAATGCAAATCTGTGTCGGGGCTACAGGAAACAATCTTCAGGGCAAATTATTACTATCAATCAATAATTATTAATTAATCATCAAATCAGAAATATCAGTACACATTGCTTAAATCCTCATTCCCCCATTACCCATCATTTACGCTGACCTCGTTGTGAGGCCTTTGCAATTTACACAGAATATGATGGTGTGATCGAGATTGGTGCCACATGGTGCCACAAGAAAACCCCGACAAAATGTGATGGATTCGAATTTCTCGGAAAATGCTCGGTTTCCTAGGTTTCCTCTGAATTTCCAAATGCTGGCTGGTTCAAAAAGTGTTGTCCTTTACTATTTTCCTGGCGATCGCTCAGGCATAGCTAGGGCAAACAAGGTATGAGATCAGACTTGAAGGCATCCGAACCAAAGAACTCGCTGATGTGTAGCAGGAAACATTGAAGACAATTCTGGGTAGAAAATTGTGACCCACAGCCCGCTATCCTACTTGAATGATTCGGGGAGTGTGTCTCTTGATGAAGCCCGTAGGCAATGAAATGAGATGAAACCACATCTCAGTTCAAGCCCCTTACGATGACATGGGTCGAAACTGGGGTATACCCTCATATCCAGTGGTTCATCATCACGTGACAATGGCAATTGTTTTACCCTGTCTATCCTACTTCTGGATTTCCTTTGTCAATTTGTGGCTGACACCGTAGCTTTTTGAAGCATCGATTCTCTGGGAATACCCTCTGGGAAACGTTAACATATATAGCTATTGAAAATGGCCCAGTCGAAACAGTGAGTTTTTCCATGAAAAATGCATGGTGATTTTCCAGTTCGCTATGTGACAGTTACCTCTGGGAATATCTACATTCACGATGATTCCCCCAATCCATATCCATATCCAACACGCTGAACAAATGGTGAGGTCGGTGACTGAACAAATGGCCTCAACATCATGGACTTGGTCTCCAAAGAGACCTTCCGGACCACGCTCTCATCCTTGGGCCACTTGGGCTGACTGGTGATGTTTTGAGGGGAAACATTATCGTTTTGGATCGATGTATGGTTTATTTATGAAAGATTTATGGTATATTAATGCATAATATTGAATATATATATATATATGGTAGATGTATGTTAGATGCATGGTAGATGCATGGTAGATGAATGGTATCTTGACCTGAAGGGATGGTCTGAGATTCTAAGGGAACCTGTTTTGTTGCTACGCAAACGCACCAAATCAAGAATTCTTCCTGTTCGAAAAACTCAAGGCTAGTCCTGAAAAATATCCCATGTAGATATATGATATATATATATATACATATGCATATATATATACACATATATATATATATTATATCAAGAACAAAAAATGGTCAGTCTGGACTAAGAACTGCAGGTGCTAAACCAGGCGGTTTTTCGGCTCTCATCCCACAAGGCTATGGGTCAAAATTGGTGAAACATGCATTGAAACTAAGAAACAAAAACCATCTGACAATGGCCAGCAAAGAGGGGTTCTGAAAAAATTGGGAGGCAGAAAAATAGCAACGTTTGAATATGTTTGAATCGTTTTATCAAGAACATCCGTGGTTTGGGCTGGGTCCCATGGTTTTTGAGCTGCCCAAGAGGCTGTTTCTTCTTCGATAGAGCTGCGGAGTGTGAGCCGTTCCAGTAGCACTGGCATCACCTCAGATAGTGTGCATGATATGCATACAGTGATTTTCTAGTTATTTTAAATTACCAGAGGGTTTCATGGGGATGGTTGAAAGCAACAAAAATACCATGAAACCAACATAGACCGAGACCCCCAAAAATATTGTAATTAGCAATATCTAACTGAAAGTTATCTTCCAAATATCCTATCTGGCAGTGTCTATGTTGGAAACTTTCATTTTGATCAACTATCATAGGAATCTGGCAGGGCCTTCGCAATTCTGGCTCCGTACAGTTCATGTATGGCTAGAAATGATGCATTGTACTCTACATTACTTCTTTTTTACTGAGACTGGATGTTTGAGGCAACATTTAGGTTTTCTGAAACAATAAACCCAACTCGCTGTCTCTAAAAACGAAGGATCTTACCCCTATATATAGTTTCATCAACCGTCAAATTTGAGAGTTTTTCCCCCTAAAATTTCAGACAAACCCAACAGGATTTCATTGGAACATTCGATAGGTCAAAATCTCCGTCATATCGTTCGACATTGCAACATTTATCGCTTGCTTTTGCTTGGAACGACGAGTTGTTTCCTAGTGATTTCAAACTACTGACAGGGACCTGCTGTTTGCTATATTGGTCTCGGAAAGTCAGGGTAGCCAGTATCGTTTTGGCTGCTAAGAGATGGAGTGCCACTTGACACACAAATTTGGGCATTATATGGGGGTTCCATAAATGGGGGTACCCCAAAATGGTTGGTTTATAATGGAAAATCATATTTAAATGGATGATTTGCGGGTATCCCCATTTCAGGAAACCTCCATATGCAATTTTCTTTAGCCATTCATTTTTTTTGGGGCAAATGACCTTGAGAGAATTCCACATCTTCCACGACAAGATTCCCCTCATGCTGATCTTGTCTTGTTGTGAAAGACCGCTTGCAAAGCAAGAATCAATGATCAGTAATATACATGATGGGGCCCTGTTTCGAACAGGAAATTTCACCTGCTTTAACTGGCATATCTTATCCCTAGCTTTATTACTCTATTCCAAGAATAGTTCACTCCAACACCCCATCTTCAACATGGTATCCCAATTCCAAAGGACTATCATAAATTTTCACATCGACATGCACTATTTAAGGTGTTTTTGGTCTACTATGGTATATTATGGTCCTACAAAGAATTTTCAGGTACCAAAGCCACATGGCGACATGACATGACATGACCAAAAAAAAAACAGCGATGTCCCAGCGGAATCCAAGGCTCCCCGAAGAGCATCAATGGCCACTCAGCCCATGCCAAGGCGTAGAGAAAGGTTCCGCTCCAGGTTTCAAAGGATACACTCAGATAGAAGAGGACTAGGCAGGTCACCTGATGGTAATCTGACATGAACCACCTAGAAAAAACTATACATGAAGTAGATTGATGAGAGGAACCCGCTCAATAGCTGTGACACAACCGCCAATTCTTTGCCACAGAATGCATGTATGTATATGTGTACATATAAAATCGAGCATGAACCCGCCACGTACAATATAGTACATACACATTCATGCGGTGCGCATCATTAAACATGTCCATATATCATTCATTTGCTACATTTCACATATGGTCATGGGTCCAAAGCCTGGTACCCCCTAGGTACCCTAGATTAGCTGGTTCTTCGGATGATTTTTTCTCCAAATTATCTGGGTAAGGTAAATTATAATATTTCACTAACCTGAATTGTTGGGCCTATCTTGGGGATGATTTCCCTACAAAAAAAAACCGTCATTTCCAGGCTTCGGTCGCGACGTGAGGTCCTTATAACTTCATCAGACATGGTAATCCCTTCCCCCGGTCATATGAAACACCCCCCGAGACCATGGTTTAGTAGGGCATTTCCACACAATTGAGACCATTTATATCGATGGGATTCAGTCTTGACCCATCCCCATCTGCAAGTTATGGATGACCGGTGAACGGGCGTGGCCGGGCATGGCCGGGCTTGTAGACCAAGATACTCCATAAATATTGCGCAATATTGATCTGCTTGGTGGTATACCTACCCCTCTGAAAAATGATGGACTTCGTCACTTCGTCAGTTGGGATTATGACATTCCCAACTGAATGGAAAAATAAACATGTTCCAAACCACCAAGCAGTTGATGATTATGGAATCAATGTCTATACATGTCTATACTATATATATATATACATGTGGAATTATATGGAAAGCTGTCTGGGAATGGAGATGGATATTGGATTTAAAAGCATCGATTCTGAAGTGAATTCGAATTTGAATAAATTCCAATGTGAACTGACTTACTTGAATTTAATTTCAATTTGAATTGAACGTGAAGTTAAATCAACTTTGAAATTAAATGATAATTAGCTCTAAACACTTCCACTTGACATTGAAACGAAATCTAAACTGATTTGAACTTGAAATCATTGGAGTCATTGGAATTAAGATTTCTTTGGACTTTTAGGAAGGTCCCAAACATGCGGGATCTTTACTCGGGGGCATCCAACAATGCACTTTCTTTTTGTTCTCACTTGTTTCTGGGCTGCCCCCTTTGCCAGTTTCTTGGGAAATATTTTTGAATCCGGATGCAATAAAGAAAATGCAACTTCAGGACTTGTACATTACTTGAAACCAGATTCCAAGCACAGGATGTCCGCATGAACTGGTCATGTCTTTGTTGCAGCGGATTCGTTGGGATGTTTAGGAAGGTCCCCAAAATTACGGATCTCTAATTAGGGGAGGTCAAACAATGCACTTTATTTATGTTGTTCCAAACATGAAGCAAACAAATACCTCCACAACAGGATGGCGTACTTTAGGGTGGTTGTTAATCTCTCCTCAGGTTTGACTTACTTTATTGCGGAGTTTCTTTAGCTGATGTGAACATTACAATATACGCATCATGTCGTTATGTATGTGTGTATATAGGTTCAACATGGATAGCTATCGACTAAACGCCTTGATAGCGGCGTTTAACTAGCAGCTTAAGGTACATAAATTTGCAAAAACTCCGTGAAACATGTGATCGATTGTGATTTTAGGGGGGAATATATGTATATATATAATTATATATATATGGGGATGGGTCAAAACCTATTGTTGCCATTTATTACCCATATTTAGGGGAATAAACATTCGTTAACCAGCTATTTTGGGGTACCTAGGGTGCCAGGGTTTTGACTCATAGCCATATACACATTCTTTGGTGTTATAACCAACAATTGGAGATTCTTGATACATTCCATCACTGGTTGGTGGTTTGAATCCCTCTGAAAAATGATGGAGTTCGTCAGTTGGGATTATGACATTCCCAATATGATGGGATCATAAAATTCCATGGTTCCATCATTGATTATATTATATCCCATTAAAAACATCATTTCCCATTAAAAAGCCATGTTCCAAACCACCAACCAGACATAAATCAGACATAAAGCTGCTATATTTTCATCACCATGGATTCCCATGGGAAAACCCATAGTCTTTCCATGGTTTTTCCGGGTTCCAAAGCAGCAGCATTCAACGAGGCCGTCAGGGGATGATTCCAAAGGCCAAGTAACTTGAAATCCCAAAGGCCAAAACCCATGTATTTCATTATATTTATCTATCTATATATATATATATATTGAGAGTGTTTTTTGGAACTTCTTCGAAATTGTCAACCCTTACTTTGTCCCTGAATCATGGGCGATTACATACCATGTCTACCATGGCAACGTGTCCTTGTTCAACCTCAAACCTATGACTTTGGAGTCCTGCTGTTCGATTGATGAGGTGAATTTCATGACTATTCCCCAAAGATATATCCGCGGGTAATTTAACATAGCTATATAGCTATATGGAAAATGGTTAGAGAACTGTTAGAGCGTAAAAACCCAGGACTTTGGAGACCCGTGTCGCTATTTCCGTCTCGTGCCGTCGTGGTCGGCACGCCTGAATGGCTTGCCAAAAGGCCAGCAGTTCAAAAATAAACGCGTACCTGCATGGCCCGCACGGCTCTAACAATAGTCGTTTTTGACTCATTCTGAATGCGAAAGCAACAAACAATCAACAGTAATTTGTGTAATTTGTTACACTTTGCTGTGGAAAATCGCATGTTTAAAAAATACTGGTAGATCATTCATCGAACCATTTTTCTACAGCTTCTGAAATTGCTGGAGAGTACATTGTATAACCGGGAAACAGTCAAGTTGTGGCGCTGTAAAGGAGCCAAGTAAAGCGGGGCCAAATGAGGAGGATAAAAGAAGGCCATGGTTCTGGATAAATTATACGAATTCACCAAGCTGAATTAAGGGTATTGCGGAATCATTTTCCTTGTTAACAATGATTGTAGTGAGGTCGCAGTCAGGTCGTTATAATTTACCCAGATTGATCACCATTCCATTAATCATTCCATTAATCATTCCATTAATCATTCCATTAATCATTCCATTAATAATTTCATTAATCATCCCATTATATAATTACTACACCATTAGTCACTATTAGTGACTATATTTGTATTATCAATGATAGTTAGATTATTTACATATTTACTATCTAATTTAAGTATATAGTATGAGTATGCCATGTACATTAACTATCATTAACTGATTCCTAGTTAACTACCCTGCGAACCCAAACCCTACAAATTTGTAGGGTTTAGAATCAAACCCTGGCTATTATCATAACAAAATCCCCGGGTTTCCGCCCCCAGAACCTCGGGTGTCCTGAATAACCCTATACTTGTTACTTGGAATGTGTGGCCGGGGAAATTGCGGCCTGACGGATGTCAAGCGCAGGCGTTTGGGATCGCTCACGGGCGGCTCACCCAAGTCCACCTGACGGAACTCGAAGTTTCTTCATGGAAGATATGAAGAATCTATGGTAAATAATGGACTGGTTGGTGGTTTCAACCCCTCTGAAAAATATCAGTCAATTTGAAGGATTATCCCATATATTATGGAAAGTAAAAAATGTTTGAAACCACCAACCAGTGGATAGTCTATGGTAAATAATGGTTACTGCCGGGATAATCATGGTTAAGCTATGGTGAATAATGGTTGATCTAGGGTTAATTATGGTTAATCTAGGTTTAATCTAGGGTTAATTATTATAGTTACCATAAGCCGTAAACCAAACTAAAGCAAACTAAACCAAACATAACCACATACAACCAAATATAATCACATGATGTTCCATTTTCTGTACCTCTGGCTTGCTATGGGGTCTTTGACGAATTCCAAACTTTTTGGTCTGTAGCATTACCACTAAGGCCGGGCCAAGTTACTATGATTCTAAGACGAATCTGGGTGATGTGTCAGAAAGGGATAGGTCCAATGCGCCACACAACTCATATAATTCGTGGGATGAATCACAGTTTCAATATCAATAATTGTAAATATGTACTACGAAACTATGAAACTCGTCAATAGGTAGAAATCATTGTTTCAACTTTGACTGCGTGGGCAGTATGAATTCATTTGCAGTAGGGCTGAACGTATACGAACACCCCTGTGTGCAAGCATGCAGCCATAAAGTTGTGCCCGTTTTGGCAATTTACACAGCTCAACTGCTGTGCCACTCGCAACGTCACATGTGCAATGGTCAAGTTACATCTTACTTGTACATGCGGTATCGTTATCGATGGCATCATGGAACTCGTTATCTGGGGAATATACATTCCTATCAATGGATCGATATGGATTGATGACCATCCTCCAATATGGACAATTTAATGCACTTACCCATACTTACACCAGTTTGGACCACGAAGCACATAGGATTTTTAAATATGTTTTGAGGATACCAAGAATGGGCATTATAGTGGACAGGGTCCCTCCTAGTGTGATTCCTAGTCATCGATCTCCATAAACAGCTGATGGGCCATAAACTTTGGGTTTTTATATCAACAAATTGTGGTTTCCACATGCTCACTCTTGAAGAAATTTATGGGTCAGGAAGAACATGATGAACATGTCTGTTGTTCATCTGTTTCTGGATCCGAAAATAGGGTACATAGATGCATATATATACCCATAGGATCCATGTATGCTATATATGGTAACATTTACCATCAATATACCCCAAATGTTAGCATATGTACCATACATGGATCCTATGGGATATATATATATAAATACCATAATATACTCCTTTCCATCCACTGGTTACTCATCATTATCCCATCATCCCATCATAAAATGGACAAATGGAGACCCCCCTCTGTGCCGTGAAACATATGATCCACTCAAGGTTGGGTTCCCAGCTCCCCTTTCTGAACACTTTAACTATCATAGTTTTTTTTAAACCCTCTGGTAATTTAACATAGCTAATTATTGAAAATGACCATTTATAGTGGATTTACCTACTATAGATGGTGATTTTCCATAGCTATGTTAAATTACCAGAGGGTATGCCCAAAGAAACTAAAAGTCTGAGGGAATGGCTGGGAACCGCCATGCTGGTATTGTGTTTGACAGACTTGAGAAATCTTCAGTATGGTCGTGAACTATCCCAGCAAGGTGCTCTTTCCCCGTGCTGCTTCTATTCCTCTTTTTCTGCCACAGGGAATCCCCAGTTCCAGTTATAAGATGCTATAAGTAGATATATTTGATCATAGCTATAGGATGTTCTCGGATGTCATATATAGGGTGTTCCCAGGGGTTATATCATAGCTATATCCCAAGTCGTGGGGGTTAAACCCCCATGCTAAAAAAGCCAGTCCTGCACCCCTTTTTCGGCAGGCCTCTTCCAATTCCAAATCCTCTAGCCCTGGGGCTCCAAATTTCAGTTCCGCATCCGGGTGCTGTGACAGGTCGTAATGCTTCATGAGCATATAAGTGCCTTGAAGCAAGGCCCGTTCCAAGTTCAGCCAATTTCAGAAGAGAAATATATGGAGCACTGGGCAGCTTACAAGTTGACATATCGATGGAAACCATTTCTGGACGTGGACTTCAGCAACAATGTGTATACATATATATATATATGTGCATATACATATATATATAATGTGTATATAATATGTATATATGCAAATTTTATATGCATACATATATATATATACACGTAATATTATTGGGATTCTGCCTATCAAAATTTGGGATTGACATGTGTGGATTTACCACACCAGATCTGTATCCCCTTGCGAATTCACCAAATGGGGCTGTGCATTGGTTCAGCTAAAGTCAGTAGAGGATAGCATCTGGAAACATTGTATGTAATATATATATATATAATAATATATAATTGTATATATATAGCCGTTTCAAGCCTGCAATGGGATGTGTGTTTGGGTGCTTTCAACCCACCACTGACTGGTCTTCAAAATTCTCCGGTGATTTGATTCCACTCTTTGTGAAAAAAAATGCTAAACAATAAGGCAGGGTTAGCCATTTTTATAACAGATACACGGAGAGAAAAGAACACAATGTACGGGAATCTTCTAGAGATATGACCTAATATAGTTATTTGTAATTTTCTTGCATCCTTAAAAGGGAAATCTATGGGATGAGTAAACTCAAACAAACACATTCTATAGTATTATGATCTTTACTATGGAACTATCATCTGCCTCTATAAATGGAGATTCATAGCTGGGAAAATTTAAGCGATAGATGGTGGATCTCCATTGAGATGAAATTTCGGAGGGTAGATGGATCTTCAGACCCCCAATATGGCATGGTTTGGACGCCGTTACCCATCTACGTTCTCCATGTTCTTTATTGGAAGGATGCGTGTCCCCCGGATCCGAGCACGAAAAAAGCGAAATCGATGGAGCTGAGCTACTTGATGAGATTCTACTCCTGAAATTTTGGGCAGGGCTCAACAATGATATTTGATGTCATTGGTTAAATATAACCATACAATTATAGTTAATAATGTCAATATATATATATAATATATATACAGTGTATAATATGTATTCGTAGTTATAACATGTTATAACGTTATATTTGATTCATGAATGCAATCCAACTTTGAACATTATCCATTCATCATCCATCCTGCTTCCGAACTCAACCGCCAGGTGTGCGAGCTGCTGGTTCCTGAAAAGAGAATCAAGATCTTCCGAGCATCTGTTGGCAAGGTGGGTGTGAGCCATAGAGTGTCAGTCTCCAACACGTGACCGACCACAAAGCCCACTGCCAACAAGGAATAGGCGGTCAAGCACAAGAAGCCTCCAACCTGAGTTGCAGCCAAAGTTCAGGGGAACTCAAGAAACAATAACATATTTTCAATGGAGACTTTGCCCCGAGGGAGAAACATGTTGGATTTGCCAAAAATCTAAACTCAAACGGCAAAAACAACCAATTCATAAATCATAAGATATCATAAGACACATAAATATCCATAATTCAAAATAACTATAACACAGTCAAAACCAGTGATTTTTCGCTGTGTTTCTCTGTAACTATCATTTCCACAGTCAACCATCAAAACACCAGCGATCCAGGGAATCCAGGGAATCCAGGGAATCCAGGTGGCATGCAAAAGATCCAGATTGATGCACCAGTAGACCAAGGGAGTCAGGACCAATAAGGTCCTGACGGGTGGACGACATCGAGACATCGACCGTGCAGGACGTCCATGGATGTCATGGATGTCATGGCAGATCAATGAGATCAACATTTAGCCCAAGAATCAGCCAAATAAATTAAAGGTCAACATCAGAGTCAGAGTCAGGGGCTACCTTGGAGCATACGGGCAATTTTTCTTCCAAATTCATAGTTGCTGGGGACCCTGGTAAAATGCATCGGGTAAATTGCGGGAGATGATCTTTTCAGAGTGGTGGCAGTCTGCTTAGCGTCAAAAAACGAGGACAGAGGCTGTTATTTGCTTGCGACTGAATCTAGCACAGGCTCACCATGCTGTGCAAGAAAACAATGAACAACCCCAAGATATTGGGCTTGGTGGGACAAAAACACCCGTAAAATCTGAGTTTCAGAGCCCTGTCCGTTTCAATGAGACACTTTAAGGGCATGGGTCAAGCAAATTCCTTCTATCATGGCATATCCAAAAACTTATCTAATATATATGTATATGTATATATCATACATATATTATATATAATATCACTACCCTTTTAAGGAGGGGGGCGTACCCAAATTGCAAGACACAATTTAGACGTTTTTTGGGGAGGTGGTCCTGTTAAATGTTGGCAAGCATTTATTTTTTTAATTGCGTCTTATTTGCAAGATTTCATTTTAGTAGGTCCCCTCATTCTTTACGGGATGTCATTTATTTTCTTAAAAAACGCAGGGGGGCGTTCAATATTGTCCATTGCATTTTTGAAAAAACATGTAAAAAAATGAAAAAAACATGTAAAAAAAATAGTGTGAAGGTCTGCAAATAGCTGCAGAATTGCAGAAAATCGAAAATGCAAACTGGAAGCGTGTAGGTCCCCAATTGCCTGGTATTTCCAATACATTCTACGCTTTGTCTACACTGTTTTTATCATTTCCACATGTAACATAGAGGTATAGAAGGTACATTATTCCTTGCAAATTACTGGAAAATCCTTGAACTTCAAATAAATGTAAAATTAGATGTTGAAGGTCTTCAAATTTGCCTCCTACCTATGGAAAAAAACGATACATTACAAATAAAGATCTCAAATGGACCTCAAATGGACCTCAAAAAGACTTCCAAATGAACGTTTATGGGGTCCCCATGGTAAACCCCCTTTATGTACCTACATGATCGAACTTAAACACCCTTCTGCCACGGTTCCTATCTAGCCCCCCTTATGACCCTCCAACCATACTATAATAACAATCTACACATGTGTCATGTTGATTCTGAAAGGAACTGTGGAACCTGAGGTGTAGGATGGTTACATTTTTCGATCTTAGCTTCACCTTCTTTTTCGAGCACTTTCTGCAAGGAACAATGGACCTTATGTATAGGATGGCGTTTTTTTTTAAAATCTTGTTTACCTTCTTTTTTAAGCACTTTCTGAAAGGAATTATAGGCCTCAGGTGTAGTATGGTTACATTTGTCTATCTCATTTTTGCCTTCTGTTTAAGCAATTTCTGCATGGAATTAAGGACCTCAGCTGTAGGATGGTTACATGATTCTATCTTATCTCCACCTTCTTTTTTGAGCACTTTCTGCAAGGAATTAAGGACCTCAAGTGTAGGATGGTTACATTGTTCTATCTTACGTAGTTTTGCCTTCTTTTTCGAACACTTTCTGCAAGGAACTATGGACCTCAGACATAGGTTGATTACACCCCCCACAAAGACGCCTCACAAACAGTTTACAAACTGTTTGCGGACATTTAACATTTTTTACCTCCCCCCACACACCCCTATCCGTAGAGTACCGGGGGGGGGTTCGGAGGGGGGTACGGGGTGACCTATCTCTTACGGACTTTCACCTCCCCTTCCCCATCGGGAAAAAATACGCAGGGGTCAAAATTGTTGCTTACATTTTTTGAATGCCCCCCTTGCTTACACCCTACGAAAAGGGTGGTGATTATATAATACGATTGGATACTATTTAGAGATTTGAACGGCTACCCCTTTCCAAGTTTCTTTTGAATCTGACGTCTATATGCCATACCCACCGGAACGCGCAACGTTAACGTGTTAACGTCGCGTTCCAAGCCGTCAAGCGTCATGAGCCAAATGTTGCGGTCCACCTCGACGACGCAAACGACGATGTGCCCCAAGCGTTCACGGAGATAAGCTTCGAAGCTGAACTGTCGAGGACAACTAATGTGTCCACTCTTCACCTGAGATTTGCTCAGGATCTCCTCATGATCTCATGAATTTCCAACATGATTTGGGGTTCAAAGATGTTGAACATGGTAAATTGGGCGGCCAAGAGGCTCACATGAAATACTGGCTTGCAACATCCAGTGATTCATGGCACTGTTCCAGGAAAACATTCAAGATTCATTCAAGAATGGCAATTTGAAACCCTTTCAAACTAAAGATAACTAGTATAATGAAAGGAATCATTCAGATCTTCTTTTTGCAAGCGGTGAAAATGGTGAAATTGACAGGTCTAATAGGCAAGAGATGTCAACGACTTCCGTTTTGGGTACGTCATCCCAGTTGCAGTAACCAAAGTTTCGGACACTTTACCACTGAAAATGGGGCATTGATCTTAAGTGTCTAACCATGTGTAAATATAATTTAACACTGATTGTTTGAACACTTTGCAACTGAGTTGCGGGGCTTCTTATTACAGGATCCATGGCAATTGGGCACTACTGGGTGCGTACCTTTGATGATGCTCCAATATTTTTCATGCATCTGTCGAAAGGTCCTTCAATATTTTTTGTTTTAAATATTTGTTTAAGAATATTTTAGAGCGAAAAGGTTGAACAAATAGAAACGAGAACCACGTCTTCAAATTAGTACATCTTACTATGGTTGTTTTTTCAGATTTGAACCTGTTACTGTCATAGAATATCTGGGTTTCACCATGCATCAGCTCCTTCCTTTTGCGCGCTTCGTCCATCTTCGTCCCTATGGTCCCTATCTCCGCCTCGGATTTCTGGCCAAAGATGAAGCGATGACGGATGGCCCGCCACATCACCAAATTGTGCACCACATCCTCCGAACGCTGACGTGGACGTTGCTCAGGGGTCACTGTCCCAAAAAGATCCCCAACTGTGGATGTCTCACCTCCAGCTGGTTCAAGTGATGTACTGTTAAAAAAAAAACATCCCGTTTCAACGGGACATTGAAAAAGCATTAAAAAGCCTGTTTTTAAAATCCACCAACAAAAACAACACAGGTGATCCATCACTTGCGTCCCGCTTGGAATATTTTTTACCAGATCTGTAACAGTTTGGCATGACTTTGTCCAGAAATGGGGGGATATGCTGGTACGGGATATCACCAAAAAATGGCGGTTAACCTGGACAATTCTTGTCAACATTTATCAACCTAGAATATTTTGATGTGCAAATGGCATTGACATAGATCAGACATGTATAATTTGTCGTTCTGTAATTTTTGGACAAGTCCGCATTCTGTCAAGGGTTAGTTCGACCAGCACTAGAACTCACGTTGTGAAACAGGAACGAAACCCAAAACGTTGTAGCCGGATGGGGTAGATCGGTGTGCCGGAGGGGTAGTTTTGATCTCCAAATAGTGACATTGCCGAAGTACTCTCCAGCACTCTCCAATTCCTCCCCCAGGCAGTCATGATGAAGCATCATCCAGTGCAAGAGAGGAATTCGATAAGTAAAGTCTTGCTGAAATCGGAGCACCAAACCTGCAGCTCAACTGCGGAACATCAGGAAAGGTCTCTTCCCGAGATCTACAGATCGACTGTGCCTGAAGATGGGGCACCCTGAGTTATCATCATTCATGGTGAAAACCTGTGAAAACCATGATAAAGCACTGTATTTGGGGGGTACAGTATCCTGTTTTTTCAGGAAAAAAAACCGGCTTGAACTACCCCCAAAAAACTTGACACAGTTCCTGTTGATGAAATGCCAAGGACTCTGTGCGAAAATCGCTACGATTATCTAAGCCTCGGATGAATCACCACAGTACTGCTTGGTGGTTTCAATCCCTCTGAAAAATATGAGTTCGTCAATTGGGATGATGAAATTCCCAATATATATATATATATGGAAAGTCATAAAAAAAATTGTTCCAAACCACCAACCACATCTAAGATGATGATATGATGATTGTGATGTAAAGCTGCCCATGGCTGCCCTATGCGAGGCCCCAGAGCTTCAGATACTCATTGCACGAGCCCATGGGGAAGCAAACAATCGCTTTGAATGTCCCAACATAGGGACTCTGATGGAAAATGATGAAAATGAGAATACTCACTGAAAAAGAACAGTCCGAGTCAGCCACTCCATCTCTCCATTGGCATTCAGAATGGTTCATGATGGTTAAAGATGCTTAGCCACTCACTATTACCCTCTGGTAAACGTTTACATAGCTATTGAAGCCATGGCCCAGTCGAAATAGTTGATTTTCCCAACTATAACATGGTGGATCTTTCCAGTTCGCTACGTAAACGTTTACCAGAGGGTCACCACTATCCCATAGGGCCATGGTGCTGGTATGTATATATATATATGTATGCTAACATTTGGGGTATATTGATGGTAAAATATGGGATCCATGTTACCATATGTGGCATACCGGCATACCTTTAGGATCCTATGGGTTATACTGCCCTAAAATCATCCACCAGGGGGTTTCTGTTAGTTTAACAGAGGGTAATCATACCATTAAATGGCCATTCTTGGTAACCATACCATTAAATGGCCATTAAATTTCCCATGAAAAATGGTGGACCTTTTCATAGTTATGTCATAGTTATATCATTGTATATTCATTGTATATTCCAAATCTAGTTCCATGAAAAATGCTGGATCATTTTCCATAGTTATTTATATATATAATAATTATATATATATATATTATACATTATATATTATAATATATTTCCCATGACTAAATGGCCATTATTGGGTAATCATACCATTAATCATTCCATTAATTACTACACCATTAGTCACTACTAGCGGGTCAGGCCTCGTGGGTCCTGGGGGGATTCCACCCGCCGCAAGTAGCCGCCGTCGCAGAAGAGGGACTCCAAGGAGTCCTCGAACACAGACACTGGACTTTAATGGATTTTGATGGATGTTTGATGGATTTTAATGGACTTTAATGGATTTTGATGGATGTTTGATGGATTTTAATGGACTTTAATGGATTTTGATGGATGTTTGATGGATTTTAATGGACTTTAATGGATTTTGATGGATGTTTGATGGATTTTAATGGACTTTAATGGATTTGATGGATGTTTGATGGATTTTAATGGACTTTAATGGATTTTGATGGATGTTTGATGGATTTTAATGGACTTTAATGGATTTTGATGGATGGATTTTAATGGACTTTGATGGATGTTTGATGGATTTTAATGGACTTTAATGGATTTTGATGGATGTTTGATGGATTTTAATGGACTTTAATGGATTTTGATGGATGTTTGATGGATTTTAATGGACTTTAATGGATTTTGATGGATGTTTGATGGATTTTAATGGACTTTAATGGATTTTGATGGATGTTTGATGGATTTTAATGGACTTTAATGGATTCTGATGGATGTTTGATGGATTTTAATGGACTTTAATGGATTTTGATGGATGTTTGATGGATTTTAATGGACTTTAATGGATTTTGAATGTTTGGATTTTAATGGACTTTGATGGATGTTTGATGGATTTTAATGGACTTTAATGGATTTTGATGGATGTTTGATGGATTTTAATGGACTTTAATGGATTTTGATGGATGTTTGATGGATTTTAATGGACTTTAATGGATTTTGATGGATGTTTGATGGATTTTAATGGACTTTAATGGATTTTGATGGATGTGTGATGGATTTTGATGGACTTTAATGGACTTTAATGGATTAAACAATTGATTTTCATGGATGTTAGATGGATGAAACGGGCCTTCCACTGGCCGCCGCCCATCCGAAATCTGGGAGGGGATTTTCTTCGCCAAAACTCAGAGTCAGTTGGGATTGTACCTCCATTTGGATTGGATCCATTTACTTGAAAATAGAAATAGTCGAAACCATCAACGCAACAGTTACGGGGCCCTTTTTATCGGGGTATCTTCACGTTTTTGCCATGCAAGGTTTACTGTGTTTACTACGAAAAATGAAAAATGGAAGCGAGATAATTTGAGGGGGGGTCAATTGGACAGGAGAACATAGTAATGTATAGTAGGATTCAGTGGGGTTTGAGCCAACGACATGGCAATTTCCAGATTTTCCAGCAACAAACATTGGGCATTTACCCGGTAAGGCTTTGCTCAACAAATTCTGGGATGCTTTCCTATAGCCATTGTTTACCTGTTGGTAGTCAACAGCTAGCTAAAACATTCCCAATGTTGATACTTTCAACATTTAAAAAGGAATTAAACATATATATGATAGCATATCAGCATATGTATTAATTAACCAGGTGAAACCACATATTTCAATGGTTATTTTTTTCCTAGATAGATACTCCAGGCCATACAACATTGGGATCTATTGGGAAGTCTCTGATTTCTCCAGCAAAACAGCGGGATCCCTCCTGTCGCAGTCCCCATGCTCTGGCACGTTCATAGCGACCCCAAGTTTCAATGACTCCCTGCGTGACCCGGAGCATTGCCATGGCCTCAACGTACCGAATTTCAAGGCAAACATAGAACTTTAAAAAAAACAGATAAGATACATAAGTTCAGCAATATGTCTTTCCCCATTAATTTCCCGATGTCTGTCCTACTGAAAACAACTATGCTCAAACCATTGCTTTCTTTTACTAGTTGTGTTGGCATCAAATGCCATACATTGTCATACCGTGTCATACTCCCCTACTAATTGTCTTCACGGTAACACATGATCCTGGGTTAGCTAATTGCGTTTCGTAAGACGTCGCGAAAGACGTCATTCACCATTGGTGCCACCTGGGAAATACAGAAGTACATAGAAGTACACATCAATAACCATGACCAGATGATTTATAGTTACCCTCTGGTCAACTAACAGAAAACTATGGAAAGATCATGAAAGATCCACCATTTTATAGCGGGGTAAATCCATTCGACTGGGCCATGGCTTCAATAGCTATGTTAGTTTACCAGAGGGTACATAATTATACATATACTAGTACCGCCCCAAAAAGTTCCAAATTTGTCGATGGATCTGCGGCCCGTGACCGAAGCCACCAGTGCCTGAAAGAGAAGAACTGCCATGAGAAGGAAAATCATCATATGGACCTGAGTCATATCCCATATGGATCCATGTATGCTATATATGCTAACATTTGGGGTCTATTGATGGTACAATATGGGATCCATGTTACCATATATACCATACATGGATCCTATGGGTATTGGGTTCCACAGCTTTCCACGGCTTTGCTTCGAGGAAAAAAATCCCAGAATTTCCACCCTTCGGGCTTCGCATCCCGGGCCGCACCATGTTGGGCCAACTTTCCTGGTACAAACGATGACCCTCAATTTTGCAGGGTGTTGATAGGGAGTCCATTTCAGCATAAAACTGGACAATTCTCCTGAGAATTCCACATTCACAGCCTCTGGTTGCGCAGTGCCATGGGGTTCATCTCGAGTTTGGTGGAGCTGATCCCAAACGAATGTGTCTGTGGAACGGACAACCGGAACAAAACATCATCACATGACAAATGACTCCGACACCAGCCTGAAATACACAAACCTACTGGTATGCAAAAAAGATTCACCTAGATCAGTACAGAGAAATCACGGCAGCCCTTTTGACCAAATATCATCAAATATCCAGATCGAGGGACAGTCTCAAAGGATTCAGCGACTGGATCCTCTGTGCCCATTTTGTCCAAATGATGTCCAAAGACTCTCTTGCCCAGCACATCGGCAGTGATGTGGCTTTGAGTCACGAGGAAGAGAAACATACCTGGCTTCTTCGTCAAGGTGGATGTGCAAGTCATATATCTATAGTATAATATACGCAACTTACACAACTGTTGTTTATGGATGTTTATTGTAGATATGCCATGCATGATATATCTATAGAAATCTATAGAACCCATACTTACAACCATGGGGCACCTCCTTGTACATTGTACATGGATCTGGTTTCTTGCAAGATAAATATGTACTAACGGATCACACCCACCTTGTTGAGGCTCTGTCGTCCCTTGGTTGGTTTATAGGAGTGCCCCCACTTTATGGAATGTGATCATCCCAAATATATCATGGGTGGTAGAACCCCCGAACCAATCATCAAGCAACAGGTCTGTGCCGTGGCCCGGCCTATAAAACCCAAACCAGAGAACTCCTTGAACAGAATGTCCATGATCTGCCTCGGATGCCCGATTCGGGTGACATCATTAGTGACATCAAAACTAGACCCAGTGCAAGCATTAGTAATATGAGATAATATGAGTGTATAGTGAAGTGTAATACTGTATGCATAATAATACTCATCGAAGGAACTTTAGAAGTCGAACTTCCGACAATATGGACAGATGAAAAGCAGAGATGGGAAGAGTCAGAGAAGAGAAGAGGAGAAAAAAAATATCAAAAAAAAGAAAGTCTCCGAAGAAAGAAGATCCAGGTGCGCGAAAAGGTAGGGTGTCGCGAAACACTGTGTTTTTGCAATGATTTAATTTCGATCATTGCGATCTTTAACCCAAGGTCGTGAGGGCCGGACTTTGATTATCTAAAAGGCAAACTGGAGCTAAAAAAAAATCAGGGTACAGTATGGTACAGTAAACAATAATTCACATTCCCCTGAATTTGTCAGCCTTTTATAGCCTTTCGGGATCTGTTTTTGGGATAGTTCTCCCTAGCAAATTCCCATCATTTTCCGCTTCTTCGGTCCAGGCGACACGCCAACCTTGTCGCCAGAATGGTCCAAGTGCTCTCGTACCCAATGCTGTAGCTGTTCGAAAAGGGCTGACAAGAGAACCACAAGGCTGATTTCTGCCTGAGCTACAGTTGTTTGTCGCCATGTAGAAACATGAAAAAAGGAGGCACCCAAAAGTTTGAGACATCGAACTTTGGTCCGGGATGAGGCCAGGATGGTGATGAGGTCAGGCCCACATCAAGATACATCAAGCGTATCCCCCTAAAACGATCGGGCGCTTGTAGCAGAGTTAGTAAGCATCCGACAAAGAGCAACCACGGACATAGCTTTACCTCATCAACAAACTCCTGGCGGAGGATGTTTCGGGAAACGCTTCGAAACCTTAACATTTTCATGTGTGGCTTCGTTGAATGGGAATATCCCTTTGGGTGGTGTCTGAACTGTGCTTTGGTTTATGAAATGGATTCCTTCTGTAGAAGTAGCAGTAGCAAGTCTCACAGGGACTGACTTTCTGTCTGAAATCTCAAGTTTTAGTGTTGACTGCAGTGGTGGCAGTATGTATTATATATATATATATGTTTTATATAACACGTAGTAACCCCAAAAAAGATAGAACACGGTCAATTGATCACAATTTTAACATCGGATTTTGCTTTTCTATCGTATCTTGGGGGTTACTACATGCACCTATATATTGTTTACCATCCGGTAGTCAAACATGGCAATCGAAAATCCTCAATTTATAGCCGATTCTCCCACAAAAAATAATTTACAAGGGATTGTTTCACTACCATGTTTGATCACCCGAAGGTGTGTATATACATATATATATATGTATAGACTGGGACGTCTTATAAGAAGATTTTTATCTGCTTATGACACCTCAAAATCAGGGAATTTCCTCAAATAAGACCCTACCAAAAATGACCTGCCCCAAAAGTGACCCAGTAATAAGCAGATTCCAGGAATTTGTAGTTTTATTGGGAAAAGTGGTGGAATTGTGAATCTGCTTCTTACAGGTCAATCCCAAAAGGTAGATTGTTCTTTTCTTCTAAATATATATATATATATGTTGTATATATATATATGGTTTTAAAAAAAACAATTCTAAACCAATGCTTCTGGGGATGTGTTTAATGCTAGGGGGTGTTAGGGGGAAGGGACTGTACAATATATAGGTGGTTCCAGGGCGTAGCCCAATAAATTCCAGGGTGTAGCCCAATAAATTCCAGGGCGTAGCCCAATAAATTCCAGCACAGTAACAGTTACCTCAGTAGAAAATTAGACAGTAATAAGCAGATTTTGGATCTTGGGGTATAAATGCATTTTGGACTGTAATAAGCAAATAAACCTCACGAGTGGTGAGGGTTTTGAGCAATCTGCTTGTCTGCTGGCAGTGGCATAAATCTGCTTCTTGGGTGTCCGCAACCATATATATATATATATATGTATATAGTATGGATGTTTCCTGAAGTCCGTGTACCTCAGTCATCCAGTCTTTTTGCGACCAGTCGGTCCTCAAAAATGGACTCTTCATGGTGTTCACCTGGGCGGATCAGCAATGACCCATGACGGATCCCATCAATATACCCCAAATGTGAGCATTAATGGACCAGCACCATGGATCCTATGGGTGATGATGATGATGATGATGATGATGATGATGATGATGGTGATATATAGATATGTATATATTTATATACGTACATGTATGTATATATTATATATGTATATGTGTGTACATGTATACATATTACAGTATGTATATATAGCATAATATAACATAACATAACATGATATAACACACCACAACATAACATAACACAACATAACATAACACACACATATATATATATATAGTGGAGGTGTCCTAAAGTGGGGGTGGAAAGTCGCCATGATTATTTCAGTACTAAAAGTGTCTACTGTGGGGTACCACCATATCAAAGGAAATCTCATATGCATATCACTAATGATTGACAGCGAGATGTTATGATATATATATGATATATTATGATCCATTTGATTTCTTGAGATTGATGATTTTTCTGATGTAGCATGAATCATTGTAGGCCATGATAAATCATTATGAACCGTTGTGAACTATTATGAACTGTTGTAAACTATAACACCCACACCCAGTCATTCTTTGACCTTCCAGCCTAATTAGTCCATTCAGGATCAAATGGCATCTGGATCAAGTGGGTGTTTCCATAAATGGAGGAACCCCAAAAGCTGGATGCTTTATAAGTTTATTTCATGGAAAATCCATGGAAAATCCGAACATAACATGGATGATGACTAGGGGTACCCCTATGACCTAGGAAACCTGACCTAGTCCTGACAATCATTTCCCAAATCCGGAGGTCGGCGACCTCGAGGTCGAGACCATGCAAGTCAATTAAACTACCCTCTGGTAATTTAACATAGCTATTGAACATGACCATTAATAGTGGATTTTCCCATTAAAAATGGTGATTTTCAATAGCTATGTTAAATTACCAGAGGGTATCGGAAACTATCGGGAATTACAGATAGCCTCAGGCAGCCTCGGATCGGTAGTCTTACCATGTCGACTACCTGGTTTATTGGAACATGCCCCAAGAAAACTTCCGATCAAAATGCAACAATCGGGGGCTTCTAAAAATGGGGGCACCCATTTTCAACCACAACAGGTCATTCTTAAGCAGGAAACTCAACTCGGCTCACCTGAGAGGTGATGTGCAATCTTGAAATAAGTCGCAAGTTTGGATTCCCAATTACAACCATCAACAGTGCTTCGAAACTCTTACATGAAGAATATGGATACCAGTAGCTCCTGATCTCCATCAACCGCTTGAGTCATGAAAAATAACCCTATCCTATGATACTGGCTGGTTTGTACCCCAATGGCTTAGTTCATAATCCCCTCTTTTTGGCCACTAATCCACAACATAGATGTGCAAAACCCATGGCAAAACCCCAGGAAACATCGTCTGTAAATGGTGTGGACTTTCCACATATTTATATATATATAATTATATATAACAATATATGTAAACTATATATATACACACCATATATATATATATATGTATATATATATATATACAAATCTATATGTAAATATACTCACTATATATATATGTACTATGAGTTTCACCCAACAGGGTAACCACTCTGCGTTTCCAGACCGTGAGCTCCAGCGTGCGGTGTACTCACCTGGCATGGGATTTTGAAGGATTTGGAGGGACCCAGATGGCTAAGTGCTGGTAGATTTCGCTAAATCATGTGGCAAATGTTGGGAAAATGTTGGGAAAATGATGGGAACATGTTGGTAACATGTTGGGAAAATGATGGGAAATGTTGAGACAATGCTAGAAACATGATGAGAAACCATTTTTTTAACACATGATCACATTATTAAACTATGGGAACGTCACCTATTCTCTTGCTCATACCATCCAGAACTTCTGGAATGCGATGATTTTGAGGCTCTTCGAAAAACTCTTCCATGCTTCATGGCTTGAAATTGGTGCTGGCCCAAGGACTTTGGCCCAAAAAAAACTTGGATTTGCTTAAGGACGGAACCTCCAACAAAAGAAAAATAACACACAACCAATAGAATTCCCCTGAGTATTGGATTTCCCATTGCCCATAGGATCCATGTATTGTATGCTTAAAAAAATGATAACATTTACCATCAATATACCCCAAATGTTAGCATATATCATACATGGATCCTATGGGTTGGGAAAATCAACCATCACCGTTCACAAAAACCCAAGCCCATCGGATTCCCCAGTGGTGGTGACACACCGCCTCCGTGGGGCGGAACCTGGGTGTCGCGAACCGACATTTAAGCGACATGGAAATCAGAAGAGTCCTGGCCACGTAAAATCTGGTTGGTGGTTGCTGCTAACCCCTCCGAAAAATCATGGAGTGAGTTCGTCAGTTGGGATGATGACATTCCCAACTGAATGGGAAAATAAAAGCCATGGTCCAAACCACCAACCAGTATGAGATCACTGAAAAGGATCACCATTTTGTATCTTCAAGATTTATTCATATGCAATCAGAAATATGGCTTTAAACAAATGCATAAAATACATAATTATTCAGATCCTTTTCAGTGATTCTTTCATAAAATCAGCTATCCATGGGCTATCCATTTCATATCCATCTGGGTAAGTTACAATATTTCACTAACCTGAATTGTTGGGCCATTTGGGAATGATATCCCTTATTAACCATGATTCCAGGGTTCGGTCGCAGTGAGGTCGTTGGAAATGGCCATGGTTTTCTGCCATGGGGCTGTTCCTATGATTATTCACCTCAAAGCCAGAGTGTTTTTTCGTTGACTGTCTCACAAAATTGGGGGCCCGAAGAGTTGTGGCAATCTCCATGGGGAACATGCATGATGGTAAATCCATGTAAATCCTAGCTATCGATCCATCTATCTGTCTATCTGTCCATCTGTCTATCTGTCCATCTGTCTATCTATCTATCTGTCTGTCTGTCTGTCCGTCTGTCTGTCTTTCTTTCTGTCTATCTGACTATCTGTCTATCTTGCTATCTTTCGATCTTTCGAATCCAATCTAATCCAATCCAGTCTAATCGAAACGTTAAGTAAACTAATCCAATCTAATCTATCTATATACATAATCAAACCATGACAAACCATGACAAACCATGACAAACCCAAAATATGGACCCGGAAAATTATTGGTTCTTTTCCGGTCTCCGGAAAAGACTGGTGGAATGGTTTCCGGTCCAGCATACCTCATATCAACACTTCAAATCCTGGTGGAATGGCCAGTACATCTTGCCAGCTGATGGAAGACTATGAATACTGTACTGTACCGGTACTTAGCACATTTTCACCCAAAAAAACAAAGGTTTACCCAGGTCCCAGGTAATGGATGCCTGGTTGGTGGTCAATTGTCTCAACATTTCTGGCACAAAAACATGTTCATGGTTTTGTGGCTAGATTTCCTAGGTTGATGGTTGGTGAATTGAACTACAATGATTTTCTTCACTCAGTCGTTCTAACTTTCTCAGGTTCTAACGTGGTGAATTCCCCTACAAGAGCGACTTCAACTCTCAAAAGCTCCGCTAAGAAACTGCCAAAGCGATGGCCACCCCTGGCCAGCCGAAGAAACGCAGGGAATTTGCACCACCCAAATGTTTGTTTTTTTCCAAATTAAGCCGCAAAAGAAGGGATTTAGATCATGAATTTATAATATGCTGTAATATTCATTAATATTCTATATCACATGCCGGGATGTAACGTGACTTAGCCACCACTCCGATACTTCATGGGTATCTAACTAGCCGAATCACGTGTTTGACCTTCAATCGATGGATTGATACTAAATATGGACATGGGTCAAATTTTCTATTGACCTTGCGGGCAATAGATACCAATAGATTTAGGTTGAACTGCTTCTTCATTCTGCATCCAATTTTTGATGACAAGCAGTTTTGAAACATAACTATTTGACCCTGAAAAAATCTGGCCAACCGGCTCGACCGAGATAGAATTCACCTTTGACCGTTGAATTCATCTAAGGCCTACGAAGAGAGGCTGACTCACCATGTATATCGACATTGATCTGTTGTGTAGAAGATCTTGACTTGAGAAAATTGCTTGAAGATGTCCGTGCCTGAAACCCAAGGAACCAAAACATATAAAAGAAACTAGGTCTATTCCGCCATTCAGAACCATGTCCGTCCAATTTTCACATCGACAAATTGCGAACGGGGTTTCCCCAACCATTGAGGATCCATATTTGGGGACAGCTCAAGGCATGAAACCTGCCGCTGAATCTCAAGAATGGTCAGGAATGCTTGCGGAAGCAACAACTTCGCTCCAAGTCGGAACTGTTGATACGCTTCCACGCATGCAATAACTGGTTGGTGGTTGACCTACCCCTCTGAAAAATATGACAGTCAATGGGAAGGATTATCCCATATGTTATGGAAAATAAAAAGTGTTTGAAACCACCAAACAGATAATATATACATCTATATACATACATGACAAATGCATACAAATGTACGTATCAAATGATAACACATAGTTATAAATATATGTATTATAGTTATATATATATGGGGGTTTCCATAAATGCGGATACCTCAAAACGGATGGTTTCTAATGGAGAAATCCGATCAAAATGGATGATTTGGGGGTACCACTATTTCAGGAAATCCTATATATATATATACACACATAAATACATATATATATATACATAAATACATATATATATATATACATATATTAAATATATATATATTTATACTGCATATGAATGTGTCCAAGACATTCCAAGACAGGACCAGCTAGAGATCCCACGATGGGGTCCCAACCTCTGCCCAAGCTGTGCCACCTCGCGCTGCGTTCAATGTTCGACATCTCTGGGCCGAATTGGATTCAATGGACCATGGAGCTAAGAATATTTTCAACGCCTAAGAATGGCGACATGAATTTTCACCGAATTTTCAATGGCTAAGAATGGAGACATGATGAAAAATCACATATCGATATATATATATATACATATAATTATATATATATCGCTGGATATACCGCTGGATGTGTTCCCTGTTCCTGCGAAGATCAACTGGACCGCCAAAGGTGGATGGAACTTCATGGAACTTGATGGAACTTGATGGAACTGAACGCGAAGACCCCTGGTAAACAATACAAAAAGCTATTGAAAATGGTGATAGAAATAGTTGATTTACCCATTAAAAAGGGTGATTTTCCAGAGTTTTTTGTAAGTTTACCAGAGGGTAAGTTGTCGTTTGTTTTGACGGGATGCTTTCTGGTTTTGATAACTGCATTAGGCAGGGTATGGCAGGGTGTACAGGCAGAGACATTTATGAGCAGCTTCCCCAAACAAACCAACACAAAGGAACATGTTAGCTCTTCATGAATCATGGTGCACTATATCTATATGTGGTTATATGTGATTATATGTGTATGTCCAAACACAACAAAAAAGATCTCAATCTCAGCATATCAGTTGTCCCCACCATAAAGCTCTCGGCAAAGGATCGCCAACAGCAAGGCCTCATATTCCAAGGCGTCGGGGATGGGCCAAGTTTTTGCGACTCGATGCCAGAGCTGCAGATGTAGTTTTTATATATATATATATGTTTATATGTTTATAGATTTTTTTAAAACATATACTAAGTGAAAACCATGTAGTAGTTTTTAAGTGATGCACATTAGTAGTTAATATATATATATATATGTTGATCTCTGATCTTCATTAGTAGTTTTTTGTTTGCACAAAACCATGTTTTTGATGTCTGCCAACCATTTCATTATCCACAGTTCCATCCCCACTTTATCTGGAGATCTGGCATGCAATCATGCAGGAGGTGTCCTCAGATGGGAGTACCCTCAAATCAGCCAAATTGGACCATTTTAGTATACCCCCAAAAGATGACCTGGGGGGGTTGGGTGTCCCCATTTTGTAGAGCCAAATTGTTGGGGGGATATTTTAGTATTGAAAGCCCATGGTGACTTGGGGATCCTCCAGTTTAGGCAACCTAAACTGGGTTGTTTTGATCAAGTGAGCACGGAAAACGAGGCATGGATGGGCATGAAGGAACTTCATGAACGAATACCCTCTGGTGATTTAACATAGCAATGGAACATGGCCTATGAATGATTCACCTGTTAGAAACTGTGATTCTCCAGTACTACGATAAATTACCAAAGGGTAGTTGATGGCCAAAGCTGATTTAAGTTGACTTGCTATTTCCGTTTGGTATTCCACAAGTCCCCGACCGCTGGGAACGATGATCGAGAGGATCGATATGCTCGACGCGGTTGTAATGCCATGAATATTCTGCGGGCATTGCACTAAAGTTCTGCTGGCCAGGGGACCCCCAGTTGCTAAAACATTGAGAATTCTGGCTGGGATGTTGTACAAGTTAAGGTGCTGGCAGTAGGTGCTGATTTACGCCGGCTCTGCAAGAGTCACGATGTTGACAACACGTCTCATTTGTTTTACGCACATAAAATGGTTGGGGATACTTTGCTTGACATAAACTAGGTATATAAACAAACTGCCTACAACGTACAACAATGAACTTTTCCTAACATATCTAACATGGGGTCAAATGCGACAACAACATCAAAAAACGAAAACGTCTAACAACAACAAGGGGTCTGCCCTCTGGTAATTCATACAACATAGCTATGGAAGCCATAGACCATTTAGTTCGATGATAAATGCCCATTGAACATGGTGATTTTCAATATCAGACTATGTTAGTTAAATGACCAAAGGGTATATTCCATTGCATTCCTATAGAATTCCGTGTATATATCTATATAATTCGATTATATTCATATTATATTCGATTCCTAGGTTCTCATGAAGCTGATGGAATATCATCAATTGTAAATCTGATATTTCCATATATATCCTAATATGTTCTAATATATATTAGGTTTATATATATATACATATTAGTAAATTAATATTCATATTCTATGATATTCTTACATATTCTGACCAATGTTCTAACATATATTGATATGCTTCTCCTATTCGTAAACTAACATGCTCAATGGCTGCATCGTGTCTCTGGATCTGGGCTGCGGCAAGCACTGGCACAGTGAAGCCCGCGGCGTGTCAAATGGAAACATGCAAACGCAAGGGTCACTAACATGTCAAACATCTTCAAATATATGATATCTGTTGAACACATGTTCTAACATGCTCAAGCGATATGTGATTCCAAATTGGTATCACGGAGTCGAATTCCTTTCAACATTCCTCACCGCCATCGAAATCCATCAATCATTCTAGGAAATGGAAATGGTTTCGTTTGCACTTGAGGCGTTCCAACTGCCCATGCACACCGCACATTTTCACCGAAAACATCGCTGGCGACCTGCTGAAATTTCCAAGTTTTTTGGATGGGCATCCCCCATGCGAAAACCCATGGACCCATGTTGAATTTGTAGAAACAATTTGCGAAACAACTCCGGTAGAGCTGTTGAACAAAACTGGTTGGTGGTTGACCTACCCCTCTGAAAAATATTAGTCAATGGGAAGGATTATCCCGTATATTATGGAAAATAAACAATGTTTGACCAACCAGAAAGAGTATTTCGAACAAACATCAAATTGAATAACCAGCACCAAACACACCTCTCAGCTTCGACCGTTCTTGGAGTTGACAATGGACAGTCCATGATTTCCATGATTTCTTGGGATTTGAAGATGTCTTTCAGATCCCATAGGATCCATGGTGCTGGTATATATGCTAACATTGGGGGTATATTGATGGTAAATGTTACCATATATAGCATACAATACATGGATCCTATGGGGATGAGACAAAGGCCACGAAGAAACTTTGGCAAACAGAAACCTGGTTCGCAGCTCCAATGTTCTGCAGGCCGTGGACAACGCCGCTACTCCTCGCTGACAAAGGGTTGGTAAACGACACATGTTTTTTTCAAGATGCTGAAGTGGAACTAAGCATTTTCTGAGAACTCTCACTACCGTATCTAGATGTATCTAGTATCTATAGTTACCCTCTGCTTATTCAACATAGCCATGGAAAATATCACCATTTGTTTAAAAGGTAAACCCAGTTGTTCACCATCTATTTCTATGGGCCATCAAAAAACCATGGCTATGTTAGTCATAACCAGAGGTGACTCTGTGACAGCGGCGCTTCCTTTGCCTCCTTGACGTGGTTCTCTCCCCTGCAGCGGGAGAACCGCAAGTTCTCCACCAGGTGATGGTTGCAGAACAAGGGGTCCTATTCGATAAGCAAATGTCATGTAAATGCTACAGTAATGTCATGATCTGCAGGACATACCTCTATATAATTATATATATATATATTATATATACTTATGAACAAGCATAATAAATAATATTTCAGAATATATGTCAAATGATTTAAGGCTTGTTGGTTCAGCCTGTTGTTTTTGTTTCCCCATTTGCTTCCAATCCTTTCTGTCAATCTGGTGTTTGTTTCCGCCTGCGGAGGCCCTCTGCCACCTGGAAAATCAGCACGGGCCAAGGTTGGTGGTTTTTACATCCCATCGCGCAAGACCTTTGGAGTACCTTTGGGGTACCTTTGGTAGTCCGTGTGGTTTTGGTGGATTCTGAGGTCACACTTTATGAAGATAAGGTTGGGAATGGGCTTCCCATGATGGGTCATAAATGTAATAATGTGTTATAATGCTGCCCAACAATGGTATATAGCCTATAAACAATCCGCATAAGTCAATGCTCCAAGGGAGTTGCCAAGGGCTTGGGGTCGCCAGTCTTCCCTCTCCACAAGTGGCAGCCCCTTTCCAATTGTAATTGTCTTGTCAGGGATAATCATACCCAGTAAATCCTTGTAAATCTCCGTAATGATGATTCAATAGAAATAACACCAACAGATTTCTTGTTTCTTCCAACGTTTCTTTGATCCTCCGCCGCAGGGAAAAGTATAGAAATAGGGTCCCTAACCCTAACCCACAAACGGCTCATTTTACCCAGTGTAAGACAATCCCTGTAGTATGCTCCATGGTGCGCAATTTTTTTTTCTCACCCCAAAAATCCGCCCCGTTTTGATCGTTTCGCACCTGGAAGGCATATGCCAGTGACATCAACGTCACTGAAACGCCAAGGTATAGAACGATGGTCTCCTGACTGGGAAATCAGGTGAAAAAGCCCTCCGTTCCTGGCCGAGATTTTTTCAGCCTCTACGCTTTCATTGGATGACATCACATAAATTCATAATATAATCCCTTCCTCCTAATACTAAACCCCCCCCTAATACAAAACACGGCAGGTAGTTTTTAGTATTAGGGGGGTATTTATTATTAGCCAGGAAGTACAGTGGCTGGAGTCTTGAATTTTTTTTTAACCCCCTAAAATTAAGGGAAACCCTTAACATAGGTGTTTATGGGATCTTCAAAATTCAAGACTCCAGCCAGCTCAGAAAGACCTTGCAGGCAGCAAGGCATGAGGGGTGGCTTTCAGGCAGCCAGACAGCGTGGTGTCAGCAAAACATGCAGGCAGCTAGACCAGCCAGGCAGCTTGGATTTGGGGAGTAGGACTAGCCCCCCTAATACTAAACACCCCGGGATGAATTAGTTTTTAGTATTAGGGGGGAGAACCCACAAATGGTAGGTTGATTTTTGAATTGTTTTTTAAAGGGGATCAATTAAAAGTCAAATTGGCCAAACTGAAATTTTCGGAAATTGGAGATGGATGCCTGTTTTTAGTATTAGGGGGACGTTTAGTATTAGGAGGAAGGGATTATATATATATATATCGAGTTTAGATACGTAGAATTGAGAAATGACTTTGTCTAAGAACAGGATCGCAAACAACAAAATCCATACGCATGTTTATTCGATTTTATTAGTATCAGTATCATTTTCACCATGGAAATGGGATAAAATTAGCATTTGGAGCTACGCTACGCATTTTCAGATTCTCCAATTCCTCGGGGAACGGCGTCTTATGAAGAAACTCCAATCATCCACAAAAAGATGTCACGCGTTTCACAGGATTTGGTGCGAATGTGTTTCTTAGTAACTTTCATCACTTTCATCACTTTCATAGACAGATGATGGTTTTGAATGTTTTTGAGCCATCAGCTTAGTATAGCTTAGTCATCTTGTTCCCATCTAACCCACCATTGAGGGAGGGAAAAAACAAAAACATCGGCCAAAATGGAGGGACATTCTGGGATGAAAAACCACACCAAGTTGTTGATGCTTCCATCGCTTCCATCAATCCAAAACATCAACTCTGAGATTGTGGTCTTTTCCCATGTAATTCTCCCTATGGAAAATGCCACGCGCATGGCCTCTCCTGAACGTAGCCGGCGCCGGCTTGTTCTGCCTCCTTTGAATGAATGGCTAGTTACCATGCACCTCAAATGGTAGAAGTGGGGTAACCTCCGGTAAAATCACATAGAGATGAACATATCGTTCTTTTCACTTCAGTTCATTACATGTTCATATTTCATACTCTTCACAGTCAGAAAAGACTCACATCTGCTACCAGTTGAGGGCAAGTTTGACTGTGCCATGCGCATAGATGCAGTGGCAGACTATGGTCATGCCTGAAGGAAAATCTTTCCGGTGAACTAACATGGCTATAATTAATACATCATGGCTATAATACATCATGGCTATTAAACATGTGTATCAATGGGTGATGTTCAATAATTAGCTGCGAATCTCTACCAGAGGGTAGATCTTGAGATCTTGAAAGGTTGAACCATTCTGAAACCTTCCAGCCGAGGTCTCCTCAGCCGCTGCATTCCAGGCCTGCCAAGAGTGAAAGCCTATGGAAGTTGGTCGCTTGTTGCGAATCCTATGGAAAATGGGATTTCTATGGATTTCTCTGGTTGCTTTGGATACCTGCTTGCAAACTCAGCTTGAAGTCAAACAACTCAGTGAATCTTAGCCAAACAATGCAACGTCATGGGGCATTTTGCGTCCCTGAACCACCTTCAAAAGGACTCCGGTGCCTCCAAGAATGTAATCCTTAACCCAAAGGCCAGTAAAAAATTGGACGTTTTTGTCTACTTGGAGGTTTCCTAAATCACGTGGGTACCCCTAAATCATCGATGTTCAAAGGATTTTCCATTATACAAACATATACAAACCATCCAGCTCTTGGGGTACTCCCATTTATGGAAAAACCAATTCAATCCTCTTCATTCAAACATCTCAAAGCATGTCGGCCCGTGAAGTTTGAGCCTGTTTCCACAAATACTATGACATCTTCAGGTGGCTATGAATCAGTCAATCTCTGGTGCCCTGCAAGCCATCCCTAAAACCTGCTCGTCCATAAGTATTGATCCTGGAACCATAGGGTTTGAAAGCACCAACTAGATCACAGTTGGTTGTCTACCTATCATATCCCCACGTTGGATGGTGAAATCTAGTTCAATCCCCCATGTTTGCTGGTTACCCTCCGGCAATCAAACGGGGCAATGGAAACTTCTCATTTATAATTGTTTTCTTCCAGCTATAGACCTCCATTTAGAAGTGATTTCCGAAATGCCACGTTTGATCAACAAAATGGACCACGTTATGGGGACTTCCCAGCTATAAACCTCATTTATTTTGAGGCAAATCCCTATGTGGGTATGGATCAATACCTATATAAATACCATATTTTTAGTGGGTTATTCACATCCATTTGCATCCCAGCTATGACTTGGGGTTCACGGCACGGTACCTAAGGTACCAGGGTGCCATGACCCATCCCCATGTTTGTTGCTTCAACAAAACCACCTTTGACTCAGCCTGATTCCCCCTGATTCTCAATGTTTCAGCCTCATTGGACCTGATGGAAGAGCCCATGATGCTGGAGCACACCTTAGACGCGTGAGGCGCTTGCACAGGTACAGAAACGGATGAAACCAATACGAAAGGGTTTATTAATATACATCCAAACCAATATGGTATATTAATTAATATATATATATATATGTATATATATAATATATAATATATATATAATATAATATAATATATATATATATACATCCGGAGGGTTCTTAAAATGGAGGATCCACAAGTCACCATGCTTGTTTCAATACTAAAATAGTCTGAATTTTCATGATTTGGGGTGCCCCCATTTTAGGAAACCTCCATATATGTAATGAAGAAATATGCTATTCATGACTTAGAGTATGCTATTCATGACTTAGAGTCCAATACTCCAATTTGCGGGGTATCTAGTATATTCTAATACTCAGGGCCGTACCAAACCAATCCGCTTGCTGGTTTCAACCCGTGTGCGAAAGCCATTGGGAATAATCATCCAATTTCTATCGGTTTCTATGGTTGAAAACCAACCAAATATGCCTTGGAATGTATGTGTCAGATTCCACCAAATATTGGAATATTGATAAATATCAGAATATTGTAATATTGCAATGTCGTAATATTTGAAACATTCTGCAATGATGAGAAGGGATTGCAAAATTGAGTGGAATCTGGAATGTGACTGAACTACAGTATATATTCTTGGAACTTTCTTTCAATGAGAAGTGAAGAGATCTCGAAATTTATGATGTTGGGAAAACTTCAATATTTAAGTCCTGTTTGAAGCAACCATATGGGGCCGGAAATCTTCACTTCTGCCGAATATCATCCCATGAACAACATCCAACACCGGCCAAAAGCCATTGCACACTGGTTCCTAAAAGGATTTATATACTATGAAGAATCCTATTTGTAGTGTTTCCCACTAAGCCTTGGTCATGTGTAGACACTCCGAAGAATGGTACGCCAACCAAAAAAAAGACAGCACACATTCACATCCTCAAATTCAGAAAGGACACATAAGAAATCCGCGTACATTTGTTCTAATCTTCCTGCATTGAAGCACTATTTATTGTTTTGCCAAGCAAGCTTTTGCTACTCTACAATGCTGTTTCTAAAATCCATAAAGTACGGTACATGCCGGCGGTTGTTGAAAAGCCAGGTAACCGAAAACACTAGCCAATCTTAAGGATACCGCCGACACGTGTTTCTTTTTGGTATAGTTTGCACAAACATATACAATATATATATATACAATTATATACAAACATATATATGTTTCTTGATGTTTTTGGAATGTATCCCCATGGCGCAAAACACATACTATGGAGGTTTCCTAAAGTATGAATGCCCCCCCAAATCATCCAAATTAGACCATTTTACTATTGGAACAACCATCGTGACTTGGGAATACCCCATGGAAACCCCCCATATTTTTCACATACGAAAAACCAAGGTTAAGCCTGCCAAGAAACCACTTCATCGGTGACCGATCCGTTGTGCTCCTCTGTCTTTTCCTGAAACGACACACCCCCGAAATGGTCCCAATTATGTGGACATTCCCTCCTAAACCACATTCTTGTTGCTATCAATGTAAAAAATGAAACGAGCAACTAGCAACTGTAGTTCGCAAGCAGTTTCAAAACCTGAACAAAGCTGATATAATATAACGCAAACGCATGATCACAACATAACATAACATAACATGATAGACGTGGAAATAAATGGGTTGAAATAACGATAGACATGCGCAGCAGGTGCCGCTTTGGGAGATGCATCTAATGTCATATGTTCGGATATGCAGCATGTCACTACGTCTCTCACAGACATGAGTAGATGGCAGTACATATATGATTTATATGATCCTATGTATATAGTATACAGTATATATATATACACACATCATTGCAAATATACACTAATTGGTGGTATACCTACCCCTCTGAAAAATATGAAAGTCAGTTGGGATTATTATGCCCAATATATGGAAAAATAAAATTCATGTTCCAAACCACCAACCAGATAACTATAATATGATCATATCAAAATACACATGACAACAAAAATATAATAATTGTATATATATATACACACATATTATCATGAAATAAGATGCAACTATATCTCAACTTATGACATACTGGAAAGAGTGCAAAAGGAGTATTATGAGTCACCATCATTGACCTTTTGAACAACAAATCGATATACTTCGGTAACCTCCCCTTTTAATAATGGCTGGTTGGTGGTATACCTGTACCTACCCCTCTGAAAAATATGACTTCGTCAGTTGGGATGATGACATTCCCAATATATGGAAAAATACAGTAATCAAAATGTTCCAAAGCACCAACCAGATTTTATGACCTTTTCAGTTTATGTTTGAAACCATCGACCAGTTATGGCCAAACATATACTAATACTAATCATTAAAAGTCATAAAAGTCATGTTCCAGAGCACCAACCAGTAACTATAGTTAATGGGTTTATAATGGTTTATAAACCAACAATAACCAACATGTAACCTCCCCTTTTAATAATGAATGCTATACGGTATACCAAACAATATCCCAAATCTATGGCCACATCATCGATCATCCCGCCACAAGTCACAAGTTTGGCCCTCTTCAGGACCATCATCTTCTGCGAGACGGGGGCAACATTGGTAAAGCACATAGCAAAGCCATGGAAAAAACCTTACGAAAAATGGTGGTTTCAACATAAAAAAAACGAAAACTATGAGTTCGTCAGATTGGATCATCATCTCAACTATTGGGGAAAATAAGACATGTTCCAAACAACCAACCAGCTTAGATATCTTAGATACCCTGCAAAACATTTGAGTCTTAGCTGGTTAGTAGATATTAGCATATTCCGAAAGAAAAAAAATGAACAGATTAAACTACCCCATCCAAGGTTGACCTAGAACCAAGGTTGTTGGTAAAATGGTAACATCTCAAACACTACATAGCTTTGAAATAGGGAACTGTTGTGACAAACAGTGTTGCACTTTATGCGTACCCTATGTTCAGATAATCCAATAGCTATATATGTTTACCCTCTGGTAATTTAACATAGCTATTGAACATGACCATAGAAATAGTGGATTTTCCCATTAAAAAGGGTGGATCTTTCCATAGTTTTCTGCAACATTCTGTAACAGTTTACCAGAGGGTACCCGTATTTCCTGGGGAATCACGCAATGGAAAATTGGGAGCCAATTCTTTGATCCCCATGGTCCCTATAAGGACAGTGAAACCGAGGCTCAGTCGGCTCAGTTCATGTTCATTTTCCTGGCTTGATGTTACACAAAAAACAGTTGCAGAATCTCTCTATGTACATACAAGTGATATTTATGATATACATACAGTATACGTATATGAAGAGTTATCATAGATCTATTCTATCATGTTCATTACATGCCAAACTGTCGGGTCATCCTTTCAGAAGTTCCGAGTCCATCGCGATCGAACAACGTTTCCGGCACCTGCAAGGTGAAGGGATCCCAGCCATAGACCACGAAATCGCGAAACTGCAATGCCTCAGCGAACAGCGAGAAATGGTTCGCGAGTCCTGGAAGATCTTGGAGTCCATTTCCGCATGATCATCTCCGCTGGATAATTTTAGATGACTTTAAGCGGCTGTTGAACACATTTTGAGATCCAGTATGAACTTGGGGCATTTCTACGGCTTAATAAAATGCATGTTGAACCTGCCCCAGAATGATATGCTTCGTAGATCAGGTCTACCAAACAAAGCTCAAAGGTTGTCACCATCATGCCAGCTGCTTTGTTGCTTCGAACGTTTGGAGATTGGCCATTCCTTTCTTTGCGCAGCATCACCCTATTGTAAGGGGGGTCATACAGATTCGAACGATGGGTTATCACCCTACTGTACTTCTTCTGAGTTCTCAGTTTCGCTGGTTGACAGAGTGTCTTTGTAGGCTTATTTTAGGTATGAGTCAAATTTGTTCAAATTGAGATACCAATAGACCCTCAATATACTGGTCAGTTTAAGAAAAATAAACGATCCAGTTTAGCTGATCACTTTGACTCATATCCCATCGTATCCCGATTGGGCCCGTATGAGTTTGTCCGAAGATATGCTTCCCACTGAATTCACCAAAAGAGAGTGAGACTTGTCACAACTTGGGGAGTAGATGCCATTCTCCATTCCAGCTACATGGGATAGATTCCATCCGGGAAGATTCTATTAGTTCACTAACTTGAAATAAGGCATGAAACGCATGTTTAATGTTAATAATCATCATCCCCCCCATTCATATTTTTTTAAAAACTATAATCAGTATCCAACATATTGGGATAATTCCCCTTGCTATCAACTATGATAGGATTCTATTCCCCTTACTATTACATATCCCCCTTGCTATTGGGATACCCTCTGGTAATTTAACATAACTATGGAAAATCACCATTTATAGTGGATTTTCCCATGAAACATGGTGGATCTTTCCATAGTTATGTAAAAGTTTACCAGAGGGTAATTCCCCTATTCCATTGACTAACCAACATTCCATGTGTATTCCGTTGATTCTCCAGGGTGCCAAGTGCATGGCGGCCGAACCCTGCAAGCGAGCCTGGAGAGATGCCAACTCATCCGGACATGTCATGATGGTGAATTACTTATAGGAAATGACTTCTATCTTATCTTATCTTTACATAAACTTCAGGAATCTTCAGGATATATATATATATATACTATTATATTTATACCTAAAGATATGGCGATTTGAATCAGCATTCCAAGTTGATAATGGTGGAATAATCACGACATTCATTGAGATTCTGGATGAACTATAGTAACTCATTGACCCAATATAAGGTAAATAAGATAGTAAGGCCATTTGGAGATAGTCGACCTGATTAACCAACATTCCACTAATATGTTGTTGCAGTGAGGTCCTTACAATTTAATTAGATACATGTGCACGCATGTGTATTATTCCTCCGCACTAATCTTTTGGCTTGTTGCAGGGTTGTGCTTTTGGGGTTGGTTCACTTTTTCCTTTGGGGTTTTACTTTTTGGTTTATCACCAAATATCGTTTTTCCAAACATGCCAAATGCAAAAACATCTCATATATGCAACATTATGCAACATTTATTTTTATACTACCCTCTGGTAAACTAACATAGCTATTGAACATGGCCATTTATAGTGAGTTTTCCCATAAAAAATGGTGGATCTTTCCATGGTTATGTAACAGTTTACCAGAGGGTATGGCTATTTTCGTCAAACGCTGCCCCTATGGATGCCCCTATGGATGTTGATTTCCCCGGTCAGAAATTTCGTCGGTGGTGCCGCCGGTGCCTTCTGCCGTGCCGCGGCGCGTGCTTTCACCGCCACTTCAGCAATGGCACAGGAAGCATCCCTGGGTTTTTTTGGGATGGGACGAAAAGGCCCCAAGCCCTGGATTTCATCCATTTTCATCCACCAACATGGGGGGTTCACCATCAAAATCATCAAAAAAATCCATGACAAATTGGAATTTAACATGATTTACCCTCTGGTAAACATACAAACAAACGATGGACACATCCAGTATTTTATAGCTGGGTAAATCAACGATTTCGACTGGGCCATGGCTTCAAGTTCGCTTTCTGTGGATCATCCCGGATCATCCTGGATCCTGGATCGATGGAGATGGTCACGCCCCACCTCTTGAGGTTGCCCAGTTTGATCTCCAACTCCTGGCCGAAAACCACAACGCACCATGGCGATGTGGAAAAAACCCTCTGAAAGTAAATCATTTAAGATCATCTTCCAAACGGGAATTTACATGGTTTTACCATTGTTTTACTATGACAGGTGAACATCGATGAATACGTTGACCATAAGCCATAAGCAGATCATAAGTAGATCATCTACTTCCAAAGGAAACCATAAGATTCCACGATGTATATACATCTGTTGTACAGCGGAGGGAAAACCTCGCTAGCGTTTTTGACATTTGTTGATATCTCTCATGTTCGCACATGGAAAGTGGGGGGTGTCTAATAACGTTCTATGAGGTAAGGTAACATCTGACACGCTCTTGATTCATATTGATTCTATGCTCTGAACACTTTCATGCAACAATTAACATGCCCTCCTACGCCTGAAGCACTGTGTGTAAAAGTTTCTCGGTGTTTAACTTATTGCTGTGTGCAAAACGCTTGCCGTGTAAAAGCCTTCTGTTTTTAGCGTCTTCAATGATGGCGGACCAAGCAGCCACTTGTATCACTGGGCTCACAGTCAAATGGGATCCAACACCGCGGTTTTCATTTCAAGTGCTGATGACGCCCTCAAGTCCTCCACCCCAAAAACATCGTGCAGATTTTGCTTCGCCGGGACTTGCCAATCCGATTTTGGACTTTGGACTATTGAACTTATTGAACCAGAACCAGCTGTCAAGTTGACAGGCTATTATAATCTATTACATTTCATAAGCTAGCCTGACATAGCTCATTTAGTGTTGATTCCTCACACTAACCATCATTCTCAACGAGCTTGGCCACTGTGGTTGTTCGTTTGTTTACCCCAAACAAAAAAATAATCCACCCCGTCCCTTGTCATTTGACACTCAGGACCATACTCGAAGCTCTTGGTGATAGCCTTGACGCACCTGGTGAATGTATGTTTTGAAAATGGGAGGTAGATGACCAAATGGACCAGGGCTTTT